AGGATCACAAAAATGATCCATGAGCCCTCTCACCACGTCAGGGTGGGTCCCACGGGGGGGGGGGGGACCTACCTAACAAATTTACAATTTAATCGTCTACGAGTATTAGGAGAAGCATGGGGTACCGAGGATGAATTCGAAACACGGTTCTACACAGGGAAATATCTACATAGTTAAAGAAAGTGAAAAATCGGTATGCATATCCAATAAGATATAATATAATTTAAAATTTATATTTATAAATTATGAAGACATCTGGAATGATAAACTTAGGGTAATCTCAAGTAACGGATGCAACAGGAACAGTGGTTGGGTCGAGTCGCAAAGATATTTAGTCCCGTGTAGGACTACGGAACGATCGACCCCCTGCTGGTTGTTGATCTGCTAGTTGAAAGAATACCAAGCATCTATCCAGAGAGAATGAGAGATTTATAAGTTTGCGAATAATAACCGAAACAGCTTTAAAGATTTAATAGAAAAGAGTGAATTTATTTTCTTAAGTAGTGTCTAGTGAAGTTATTGACAGAATTTTTATGAAATCGTTTAATGTTAGAACTAAAAAGTTATGTTTGAGAAAAAGTGATTATTTTTAGTAATGAATTTTTTTCATTATCGTTTGTTTACCATATGATTAAGGTCATATTACATTTTAAGAACTTTTTAACAAATATTAAAAAATGCATTACATAAAAACATTCAATAAATTAGGAAATTTCAAAGTCTTAGTATTAGGCCAAAAGTGCTCAAATAATTTTGAAAATTTATTGATGTATAAAAAAGTATGTCTCTGATATATGGTAAAATTTTCAAGTTACTATCTCTATTACTTTTAGAGTTATGACTAAGTGACTAAAGTGTGAGAAGTGAAAGAACCGTTTACGACACATTTTTACCGTATTTGCCCGTTTTTTTTTTTCAGTTTATCCTCTCTATTGGAAAAAATATTGAGAAATTCGAAAAATGACCTCTTGAAAGTACTACCCCAGTTCAATTTCAAATCTAAAAAGTTGCTGGACGATACGTTATAGATTCGAAGAAGAAGAAAACAAAATTAAAATAAAATAAACATCATTGTAAAACCTTTAGATCCTTCGTTTCGACCAGAATCTAAAATTTTTAATAAGAAAATATTTTAAAAATAATAAAATTGAATATTTAGTATAGAAATAGTGGAACCGATACATGAATCCTATACAAGGATTATTCGGTGCTCCCGTGAGAGGTACTGAATAACCAAGTTCAACTCCTCAAATCAAAATTTCTAAATATAAATAATTAATATATTTTTTTTTAATTTAATCAATTATAAATATTAATTTACTGATTGGTACTATAATGAAATTTTATTTATCCTTTTTTGAATATTATTGATACATATTATTTAATTATAAATATTATCTGAAACAATTAAGATTTTGAAATATACTAATTTCATAAGCATTTGTAAAACTTAGTGTAAATGATGACTGCAAAAATATCTTTTTCAATGTCTTTATGTAAATTATCTATAGAAACAGTTGATAAAATGTATGTACTTAGCATTAATTGTTGGTGTTAAAAAACTTAGTGACTCATAAACGACTGACGTTTTCTCCACTTATTCATTCAAAAAAACTTGTTATAAATCTCTGAAAAAGAATGCTCCAAATTTATTTAAGAATCAAACAAAAGCTAGTCTACACTTTAAACTAACAATTTATAAATCTTTAATAAAACCTATGTGGACATACGACATCGAACTCTGGAGTGCTACTAAAATCTCCAATATCAATAAAATTCAAACTGTACAATTTAAAATACTCTGCCGCATACTTAACGTTCTTCTATGTATCTCCAACGAAACTATCCACAGTGACCTAAACATACCAACAGTTAAACAAATCACCCAAATTCGTTAAAAAAAATCTCACAACCATCTCATTAATCACCCGAACACACTTATTAACGAATTATCCTCTATCGCACTCCCTGAAAATCCTCCTCACCGCAAAAAACGATCTTGGTGTAGAGATTTACTCTAATACGACAAAATAAAAATAATCAACATAACACAAGATTAAATTAATTTAATATAGTTGTAATATTAAATGTCAGTAGAAGTGCTTTCAATGGGGAGCTTCTTCTCAAGGAAATTTAAGCTAAAAAAAAAAAAAACATATTAACATAAATTCTTATTATCGTTTATTAACTGTAAAGATTGTATTTTTTCGTAATGAAAAAAAAGGGCCGACCACGTACCGACTAACTCAGGGTCTCAATGATAAAATAATTGGAGGTGAGGGTCTCAGTTAACTGTTACGTGCTGTCAGTTCAATGGTTCTGAGGTTAGGAAGTGTATTAGGATGTTTAAATTAATTACTCAAATATAAGTTAAACTATATTTATTGTAAATATTCCAAGTCCAAAACATTAATTTATCAAGAAAATTTAACTGGCATGAAGGTACTTGTTAAGATCAGACTAACACATCTGACTATTGATCTGTTCCATCTTCTTCTCAGTTTACCTTCCGTTGAGGACCATTGCTGCCTTCAAGAAATCTCGCTATCTATCTCTGTTGTACGTCAGCTCAAAAGTTATATTTTGGCCTATCTCTTTCAGGTCTCTGGTTATCACATCTATCTACTGGATTCTTGGTCTTCCTAAGGGCCTTGTTTTGTTAATTTTTTCAATAAGTACTTTTTTAATTAGTAGTCCAACTGCTCTCCAAGTGTCTCCAAACCACTCTAGGCGTTTGTTTTTAATAAACACTAAGATATTTGGTCTGTTGTACAATTTCGACAATTCTTCGTTTTTTCTTTTTTCGTAGATATTGGTTGAAACGTGGACCATAGATGTTCCGGAATACTTTTTTCTCAAATATTATTAATTTCCTATCATCACCTTTTGTTAAGGACCATGTCTCGCAAGCATATGTTACAATTGGACGCAGGTAGTATATGATAAAGAAAAATTATTGATGTCCTTGAAAGTAATTTTGATTTTAGCATTTTGACTATACTATAATAGCACCTGTTCTCGCCCATAATTCTTTCATTCACTTCCTGTGATGCATATTATTCTTATTATTGACATTTATTCCAAGGTATTTAAAACTATCCACTGCTTCGAATTTTATGTTACTAATTAAAAGATTGTTTGTATTCTGATTATTTCTTGACATCATCATATACTTAGTTTTATTTTCATTTATACATAGGCTCATTGACTTACTTGCCTTAATCAGATTCTCAGTTGTTTGAACAATTTCTTCTTTCGTACTTCTATATCATTTGCGTAAGCTAAAATTACCGACTCCCCAATTATGTCCATGTTCTGTTGTTCGTTTGTATCTCTTACTATTTTTTCCAGAGCTAGATTAAATAATTTGGGTGAGAGGGCGTCTCCTTGGCGTAGACCAGATTTTATCTCAAATGCTTCCGAGTAATTTTGTAAGTATCGTATTTTACAGAATATCTTCTCATTACACATTTTAGCAAAATTTATCTACTTCTTTGGTATTCCAAGTAGTTCTAAACCTTTCCATAGTTCCTTTCTGCTTATATTGTCATAAGCTTGTTTAAAGTCAATAAATAATAAATGTTGTTTCTCGTTGAATTCATAATATTTTTTCATCACTTGTCTTATCACGAAGATGTGATCGATGATTGATTAACCTTTTCGAAAACCGCATTGGTAACTTCCGATAATGTCTTTGGCATATATATTTATTCTTTCTAAGATTACCGTTGTTAGGACTTTATTACCTACGTCTAGTAAAAAGATACCTCTATAGTTCTCCGTTACTGTCGGGTTATCATTTTTGTACAAAGGACAAATTATAGCTGTATACAATGTATAACTGTATAACTGTTAACTTCATTTTTTGAGTAGGTTTCTCTACCTATTTTAGCATTAAAATCACCCACTATTATTTTCAAACAGCGAGTAGGTAGGTTATTCACCACTGTCTCTAGTTCGTCATAAAACTTTTCCTTTATATCATCGACTTTGTCCTCTGTGGGAGCATAGCAGTTGATTAAAATTAGATCAAATGGTCTGTTCCATACTCCTTTATATACCCTTTTATTGTACAATATTGTGGTATTTTCAAGGAGTAACCCGATTTATATCCAGATTAGTATCTTATAGTTGCCCTATACCTTTTATGTTTAGTATCCCGGTCCGCTAAAATACATTATATTTTAAATATTTGATACTTATCGTTATTCTTAAATGGTTAGCCTTGAAATGTACCTATGCGAATCGCATAGCTAATCCTTAAAATGCTGTTATTTCGTGACTTGCATTAATTCATAAATGCATTTATGTACATCATAAGTTTGTAGTGAAAGTTACTCTAACAATTGGCAATAGTTTAATATTCATTGTGTGGTCCCCTAGTAAGGGCAATTACTACTGTAAGGACCTATATATATATATTCGTAAAATAACTACCAATAACTTCCTAGGGCAACAACATTTGAATAAGACGCCAGTTCTCCCACCATTGTTAATTAACATAAGTTGCTTAAAAGTTTAAGATTTTCTTTGTTTGTCTAGTGATCGTTTATGGGTAAAAATATTGGTCAGACTTGCAACTAACCGAAATAGCGTTGTGACCCACAGATTTCTGTCTTGTAGGATGGTGTAATGGGTTTATTGCCATGGTAATTCATTGTGCTAGTGTGGTGGTATTCGAGCGTTTGCTAAGCCACGTTATAAGCTATTCGAAATTTTCAGCTCTATGATTTTTGTTACGAAACTATTGGTCTCGATGGGGTCGGGATTACAGTCGACGCATAATAACTTCGGTTGATATCGGTCCTCGGTTACGGTGCAACCATAAGTGATAACGTTAAGCGATAACAAAATCGCTGATGTGATAATATTATTGACCATTTGGTTTTTTTTATTTCATTATGTATATTTATATATTTTTATTCTCAGTTCTCGAGCTTTACATTAATTAAATAAATATTCATTATATTCTTTTAAAGCCAAAGGTTAAGAAGGGCCTGCAATTTTTCCATTTTGCATTGGTACTAGAGATGTATCAATTGATAACTATGTATCCGAATACATTACATCGATAGTAGTTATTGTCATCAATTCCTGAATTCTACCATGGCGACCGGTCAGTATAACTGCTTAATATTCAATTTAATCATGTTTTTGTTCCGCATTTATAAATGACTTAAGACATGTGATTATTATTATTTTATAACGCTCTAAGTAGCATAAAGAACTTTGAAAAATTTTAAAACTCTTGTATTATAATTTATTATGTATAACATTAAAACTATCTGTCGCAAAATAATATTATTACAATACAGTAATATAATGGTATTGGTCACTATTTGCTATGAGTTTTATCTTCCGTACAGCATGAATTTGAGTTAAGAAGTTATAAAATAATTATACAAATATTTACCATGTAATTAGAAGACTAGTGGTAGAATTGAAAAGGTGTAGCAACATACAGCAACATCATATTTGCTAATAATCAACTTTTTAATCTATTTTTATATTATTATATTGTTACGGAAAGAATTGTTCAGCATTGCTGGAAAGTATTGACAAGTGTATTACTTACATTTTATTAAATAAAAGCTCATTATGTTGGCTGATTTAAATCATACTTTTGAAGTGCTTTGCTTACCTTGAGTCTTTTTTAATATATTAAGTATTCTATCTTAAATAATTTAAATTAATATTTGTATATAGATTCTTAGTATTGTAAAATATTCAAAAATTAAATTAGTCTTTATTTACTTAAATTAATTTAGTTATTTATATATTAAATTTAAACTATATTAATTATTTTTAACTTGAACCAAGTATACAAACTTTAAATTATTTTATATTTGTTATTATTTCTATGTTGTATAAAAACAATATAAAACTGTAAAATACATTACTAAACAATCGCTATGATGGTACACTTGAATTTTGTTTTTTTTTTTTTTTTGTAAATTCAAGGAATCCAATATTAAAATAATAATGAAAAATTTAATGAATTATACTTATGTATTGAAATGTTTTTAAATTCATTTTTTTTTATTTGTATGTTTATTTTTACAGGAACAACTAGAAATAAAGTGGCTCTAGCTCCTGGCCACTCGCTTATGGATTGGATTCGTTTGGGTAATTCTGGAAATGATTTGACTGGAGTTGGTGGTAAGCTGTTGTCTGTTTCAAAATCAGAATTAGCAAAACACAACAAACGGACTGATGCTTGGTTAGCTATACGTGGAACGGTCTATAATGTTACCCAATATATGGATTTCCATCCTGGAGGTGGTGATGAATTGATTCGTGGAATTGGCACAGATGCTACTAAATTATTTTCAGAGGTAATAGATACTGAATAATAGACATTGTAATTGTGTTAACAGTTAACAAATTGTTTACAAAAGATTATGAACAACAGATACATGCTTGGGTGAACTATGAATCAATACTGCAGAAGTGTGTTGTTGGAAGATTGGTAAATGAAGAACTCTTCAAATTACCTGAGGTTTTGAAAACGTCTACAGATGTGTCAATCAATGATTTTAATATGGACTGGTTTCAACAACTTGGCTTTTTATGTTTTGTATTTTATACTAAAACACCATATCCTGAGGTACATAAGCACAAAAACATTATTTTCTCAATGAAACTAATTGTATTTAGTCTTGTTACAACTAGAATAGTTTGAAATGTATTTAAATAAAAATTATTTGGTTCCATGATATTTCCTCTAAAAGTCATAAAATACATTGTTTGTGGCATTGTTCAAATTATTTGCTCTTATTTATTTGATTAACTAATAATTTTATTATAATCTTCAATTTCGTATTATAATAATTAATAATAATTGTATAGTTAGTATTAATGAATTTATTATTTACTTATTATACAACATACAGATATTGCTATATATTATTATTATAGTAATTATAACTTATTCAGCATTTTTGGTGTGTATATTTATTTTTTAGTTTTATATATATTTATAATTTTGACTTTATTATTATATTTCAAAAATTATAACATTTTTAAATTGCATTTAAATTTCATTGTTTAATATTGCTCTTGGTCTTTAATGAAACTTTATTGCTTACTTTATGTCTATAATTGGATATAATATTTTAACTTTATATTATTGATAATGATTGCGATTATCAAAGTAATTATTTGAAATTTAAATTTCTGTTAAAATATAGTTTTTTTTTTTTCATTTTTTTCTCTGACTTAATATTTTAATATTGATTCCAAAAAAATATAATCTATTTTAAACAACATTATTTATAAATAAATGAATAAATAATTTTATTATTTATACAAATTTGTTTCAGGTATCTATTAAATTAAAACGGCCCAATGAAATAGTTTTTTCATTGAATGGAAAAGCAAAATGCATCACTCTTCATAAACCTGTCAATTGGCCTTGTATTGTTAAAATTGTAGGCGATATTGGAAAAGTTCAAGTTAAACTAATAAAAAAAGTGCTTGGACTTTGGCCAACTTTTGGAACTGTATCAATAACCAATAATATTCAAGTTGATTATTGGAAATGCGAACTGATTCAATCATATGATGTCACTCATAATGTTAAATTTTTATTATTTAAGTATGAACAGAATTTGTATAATCATGTTTACCCTGGGCGACATGTTTATGTAAAAGCAAAAATAAATGGTATTTATTTATTAATTTACTAAAATAATATTTTAAATCTTTTTTTAAACTATTTAAAAAAATGTATTCTAGGTCTTGATGTATCTCGCCCATATACTCCAGTATGGCCTATAGTCGACACAACTGAATATGGAAACATTTTAGAGGATACTTTGTGTTTGTTAGTAAAAAGTTATCCAAAAGGAAAATTAAGCCAACATCTTTGCTCTTTACGCCAAGGTGACTTTATCGAAGTAAGCCGACCACAGGGCAGTTTTGAGTGTTGGACATCAAAAACTAATTTAATTTTAATAGCTGCTGGTACTGGCATTACACCTATGTTACCAATCATATGGAATGCTTTGCATTCACCCATTAAAAAGTATTTAAATCACAATGAAAATAATCAATTACTCATCTATATTCAATACCATTACTCATGATTATAGGTATAATGTTTCATTATTGTTCTGTAACAAAAAAGAATCAAACATAATTTGGAAAAAATATTTAGATCAAAAAAGTGCCACTTACTCATCAAGGTAAGATTAATTGATACTTTATGTTTTGTAATTTAATTTTAATAATTTGATTGATTTTGTAGACTGACTGTACGTTATATTTTATCAAAAGAAGAGAACCATGAGGGTGATAATAAAGAACATATCGATGAAAATGTAATTAGTAAAAATTTTCCTACATTAAATGAAGATTCGATGGATAAATATGGTATATGCATATGTGGCCCCCCAGGATTTAATAAACTATGTGAAAAGTAACTATAATCATTACTTATAAGTTCAAAATAATATTATTATCATTAAAATATTATTTATTCAATAGGATAATTATTCAGAGAGGTTTCAAAAAAGATGACTATTTTATCTTTGGTTAACATATTTTATTATAATCATTGTTTTTTCAAATACAAGTATACCATATAGTATTTTTGAAAATATATTTTTGATTTTGATCAAGATGAACCAAGTAATATTATGATTTATATTCTATGTTATTTTTTATAAAATATAAATGTGTTAATATGTAATAATGATATCTAAAACCATGTTTGATTCTTATTTGATATTATAACATTTACTTAAGTTAAAATTATCAATTATTAACTTCTTTCTAGAATAAATAAATAATTGAGATTGTGTAAAATGTATTAAGTAAAATTAACAAATAATTAGTGAATCTACATGAAACAATTTTGGAGCACATCTACCACTAAGTAAATTGGTGAATTTGCAGCTAAAACTAACGGTAACAATTTTTAGATATAATTCCTACTTTGATTAAAAATGATTTAAGATTAAAACATGGAATTCATAATTTTTATAAATTTTCCTAAATATTGTTGAGAATTAAAAATAACTCAATCATATAATAATAATTTATTACATCATAAAGTTACAGTGCATATTAATTAAAGTACATTTTATTTTTAAGTATAATAATAATAGCAAACTAATTTGATATCGATGAGGTATTATATGAATCGATTATAATACAAGCAATAATCATGCAGTTAGTTATTATTTTGATAACACAATTTTAGTTGATATTATAACTTTTAAAAGTTTGTTGTAAAATAACCTATATCCTATTTAAAACATACAAGTAATTGATTAAAATTATTAACTCTCATATGAATTTGTTATATATAAAACTATTTAAGCATACCGAAATTTCATTGGTGTCAGTTTTTTGTTCGGTGGTGATTGATTTTCGCGGGTTAATTTCACAAGTAGAACTGGAATAAAGCCTGGATATTGATGGAATCTCGTTTAAAGGTGCCAAAAGAGCAGCTTTTTTTCCATCTAATTTCATCAAATCCATATCTATGGTTTGTGATTTCTCAGCAATCTTAAGTTAAAGAATAGTTTATAGTTAATATAATATATTTTGAAATGTACCTACTACCTATGTGATTTAGATATAAATGATATACAACATTGTTGTAATTTACTATTTGAGTATTAAAATTGATTTATCTTGATTCAATTACTACGAAATTTTAAAGAATTTTTTGAATTACAAAATAATTGTACACCTTAATTGACATCTAGTTGTATTTTTTTAATTATACCATTGTCTAAGAAAACTTCAGATAAGTATTCAAATTATAGATTGTGTTATACTATAGAAATAATAAGAACATAAACAATAGTTTTATAATAAAAATATGACCCTGTTTGATTTATTAAAATTTACAGTTCATTAAACCAGTGCTTCTCAAACATTTTTGTCAGATTTTGTAGGTCTCCTAAATTTATTGTTAAATTGTCAAGGCTCCCTTAATTAAAATCATTTATTATTATTATTATTATTTTTTTTAATAATGTATTAAAATTACAAGTGCTATTTCACACAGCTTAACTATTGATATGTATATTAAATTAATGTTTTTTATTTACTTGAAAACATTTTTATTATATTGTTAACTACATCTGTACATGTAAAAATACAAGAAAATTAAGGCATAAAGAAAAAAGTTCAGATAAAATAACTATTTCAAGGCCTAATAGAATAATAATATAGCCTAAGAGGCTGTGGTTCCCAGTTTGAGAAGCACTGCATTAAACTACTATTTCTAAACAAAAAGTGCCAAAAGGTCTACGTTACATATGAGAATTAATGTGCTTATATTGCTATGATAAATATTAATTTTAACCAATCAATGTGCCTAAGTTACATGTATAGGTATGTAACCATCTAATAACTTATTATAAACAGGATAAAAATTAAACATAGCATTAAAAATTATATCATAGCAGTTAATTAATCAAGAGTTATTATTTTTAAACATAAATTGAATTTGACTGCTCACATACCTGTGAATTAGATGTGAAATTGTCATTCCCCAAAGCTGTAAATGTCAAGAAGAAATAAAAATATAATTAATTTAATTTTATAAAAACACAATTTTATGTAGTTCGTTTATGAGTTTGTTTCATGCCCATGGGCGTGCCCAGACCTGTATTTCAGGGGCTGTTTACTATTCTTTTGGGCCCTATCTTAACAAAACGTGTGACATAACTTTAATTTATTATTGAATACTGTAATTAGTCTCGATGAATATTTTTTCCTTGAATCTCATACATTTTTCCTAGATAGCTTCAACTACGTATGATTTGTATTTTTGTAGTCCATTACTGCTGAATACACACTAACTGTTATATTATCATAATACATTTTTGCAAGAACATTTAAAACATTTTGTTTTATTCTGTCTATTACGAAAAGTCATTTATTTTTTACCAAATATTTTAGAATAAATCACATTCAATTTGAACAACATCAGTTAAAATACAGGCCCATTACTCTTAGACTTAAATTATAGGGCCCCGTTTAATAAATATTTCAGGGGGTGCCCGAACACACCCGGCACCTCCCGTGCACACGCCTATGGTCATACCATATAATAATAATATTATGGGTATCCCATCAATAATATTAATAATACATTAATATAATAGTACATTTTATTGGTACATTATCGATCGATTTGACGGCCATTACTTACAATACAGTGGCATATTTAGATTTTAACCCCCCCCCCCCCCCCCCCCCAAAAAAAAAAAAAAAAGTTAAAAAGTTATAAATAACTTGGTTTGAAGGTACAAAGAAAGATAATATTAATTTATATAATATATCATGTAATAACTCTTCATTTTTATTAGGGATATTATTGAATCACTTATTTTTTAGAAAAATTTTAAAGCCTCCTAAAAAAAACTTGAAAATAGGCCACTTTAACAATATACTATCGATATTTACTTGTAGTTTGTTGTAGGCCAGTATTCGACACTATATTTTTTAGTTTCATATAGACTACGACCATTTCCGGACGGTTTTTCGCTATTTCTACTACGCATGTTTTTCCCAGAGATATTAACGCCACGGATACGTGATAAAAATCTTCTCCCGCGGTCTTGTCAGCAATATCTATCAGCGAAGACGTGTAATTATTCACAAAATCCATCTAAACAAAACAATAATTGAATCAATATGAATGTCAGTTGTAACTAACGTATATTTTGTTTTAAATTGTGTTATACGGGTACTAACCAAATAGTTGTAGTTTTTAAATCTGTTGAACGCTTTTAGACCCGTCGCAATTTCGAACATCACCTGCGTAAGTAAACATTTTTTATAAAACAAATTTTCAAGACATGTCTAAATTACCTACTATTACTACTATACCTAGTAAAAAGTATTATATTAAAAAAAACTCCAAGTGAGTATTTTAAAAGCAAGATTAAAAAATAAATAAAAATTAGTGCAGTAATTTATGATGTAGACGCCACACCCTTATGTGTTGTCTCTATCTTACAAAACCCATTCTTACATCTACATAGTAAATTTTCGATCAGTAAAACCAATTTTAGCTTCTGGGTTGTTAGCTTTAATATTAGAATAAACTGATCTAACTTAAAGGTAAGAACATTATTATAATATTATCTATTTCTTCCGGTAGGTATTTTAGATTTTATGTAAAATATTATAATTTAAAAATACTCATAGCTAACTTACAGATTAAAATATTGTAAAAAAAACCTATGTTTGCGTTCTAATCGTACGCGATTGCAGTCTTTTTTTCAACTATCTGTAGATTGGTTCATTAATGAAATGTTTCTCCACTTCTCTTAGCAACTTCCTTTAATTTTTTATAGGAACCTAAGTAATTCTAACATGATCTGCTTATTAGTGATTAGTTTATATCATTATTATTATTTATATGTTATCTATGCGTGTGACAATATTTTAATGGCGTATCGAATTTTGTACCGTGCACAGCAAGCGACTCCAAAACTATAAAATAATAAAAATAAAAAAAGGTTAAAAAATAAAAGGTTAATAAAGGTTAAAAAATAAAAAAGGTTATACAGTCTACATATTGGTTTAATTATTTTTATTTATTGGTTTAATCCTAGCGATCCATTACAAAATACAAAAAGATACAGATAATATTCTTACCATTAAGTTTGAAAATAAATCAGTTTAATATCATATAGGTAATAAATATCTTATATAATAAAGCATGCGGGTGTGGCGTCCTATGGATTAGTTCTGAATATAAATAAATTAGTTAATTAACAATATTAATTAATTTACCAGAAAGAAATGTAGTATTTGTATAATAAATTTAAGTAACTTAACTGTTAACTTATTATTTTGTTAATGCCCAAGCTTGACACATACGTACCACACCGAAACTAAAAGTGTCCACTTTTGTAGACATTATTTTGCTTTGGCAAAAGTCATCGGGGAGATAAGGTTTAGTACCACATACACGGCTAACATTGAAACCCACTGGTTCTTTGTTCGTTTCTTCCATCGGACCGGTTCGAGCAAGACCGAAATCTCCTATTCGAGCTTCGAAGTTTGAGTCCAAAAGAATATTGGCGCTGAAAAGTAAAAAAAAAAAAGGTTGTAAAAGAATATCAGTAATAAAATTATAATACATCTGTTTTGATTTCAACAAAGATATTTTAATATATTTACAAAATAGTTATTGTAACTTATTGTGGATAATTACACATTTTCGAATACAAAATAAAACGCGATGTATGTATACGGTAATATTTACCTTTTTATATCGCCATGAATTAAAGGTATTTCCATGTTATGTAAAAATTGAAGTCCTCTCGCTGTTCCTAGTGCTATGTTTGCACGCCTTGACCAAGACAATGGTTTTGTTCCGTTCTATATATACAAACAAAAGCGTGGTTAGGTTATATTTAGGGCTGGGATTTTAATACCCTAAAGAAATCCTTTTATAACCTAAAAACTCTAAACAATGCACTACCATTTTTATTTTTAATAATTTTAGTATAAATAAAATTATAATAAATTAATTAATTAAAAGACGGAAAAACTCATAAAATGCATTATAAAAATGACTTTAAATTTATTCAAAAAATATATTACAAGTGTATTTATTATAATATTAGGATAAATTTTAAAAAAAGCTGTACATAAAGCTAGATATCATAGATTTGTATTTCGTTTAATCTGAAAAAAAACGCATCGTTTTACTGTTTTATCATTTTTATTCCTAAGTTTTGACACATTTTAACAATTTTCCGATAATATAATACGAACTACGAGTACCTACTTATAATCTGTTATAATTATATAAAAACCATGTTGGTATAAACTTTTGGGTTTTTGCGGTATGCGATTATTTTGTAAACTTTTCGATTTGTACGATATAGAGAACATAAAATTATAATTTAGCTAATATAATATGAAATATTAGTTATAATAGATGTCGAAGACAAAGAATATGTTAGTCAATCCTATTTTGCAGGTTTATACAAAATATTCTTACTTCCTTGTGTATTTACGAAACACAATACATTATGTGGCAATAACGATAATGTAAAAATAAAATGTTACTTTACTTTAAAAAAATAAGTTATCATGTGAGTTATTAAAATTAAAATTTATATAATATGATTATCTTTAAAAAACCAATAAGAAATGTCATAGTTATTTAATCCTCGTGAAACAGTCTAAACATATTATATAAACTGAGCAATCCGTACTTTAAGTTGTAGACGATCTTCCAGTGATCCATTTGCCATGTACTGGTAGATCAAACAAGATCCAGTCGCGTGGAAACAAAATCCATACATGGGAAGTACATTGTCATGTTTGACTGCGTTTAAGTACATTATCTCTTTGGATGGATTTAAAATTTCGTCTCCCAAAGTGTGCATATTAACAACTCTCTCGGCTATTCCCTGAAAACAATGTATACATTACTGATAATACAAACCTCATATTTATATGATCATAGGTGTGTTCAGAGAAAATACAGAACTTGTATAACGGGGCAGTTTTAAATACATGTTTAATCATAGGTAACCTAAAATGTTTGAAATATTACTGAAATTTATTTATTTATTATCACAAAATTGATGTAAATATAAAATAAAATTTAAAATAATGCTATTATAATTTTTAAACTTTTATTAAATCTAATTAATCATATGGGTGATTAATATATTAATTAATTGCTACAAAATATTTTTCAAATATTTGTGTTCATTGCTTCAATGTTGATGTAAGGCATTTAATTAGTGTGAGTAACATGAGTTTAATTTTTTTTTTAATTTCTTACTCAAAACTACAATAGGCAGTTATAAAAATGTCTTAGAAAAAACTGATTGAACATAATATATTTTCTGAACAACGAAGATGGAAAACCTGTACTTGTCAGCAAACGTCAATATAGTTTGTTAGGGTTTTTAATAATTATATTTTCAAATATTATTTTGTATAACTGACCTCAGACTTCAACCGTTTGATAGCCACATCCGTGTGTCGCCAATTTCCTTTGTACACCACTCCAAAACCTCCTCTGCCCAACACGCGGTTCTGATCCCAGTTTTCCGTTGCCACTGCGAGTTCGTCGTATTGGATTCGTTGCATGTATACCTCTGAAGAATTTCTTCTATAACTGCAGGTCTCGGTGGAAACTGTGCGATTGCAAGAATTCCATCGATTGTTGCGGACATATGACCAAAATATTTCGTGCAAGTTGAAGTAAACAGACAAAAAACAAATAAACAGAACGAAACCCATAATGATTACAAAATAGAAGTAATCGATTTTCCATTTTTTGCATAGACTATATTCATCTATAAGGATGATTGGTTTAGTAGAAGACGTGCAGGTGATTTTTCTCAAGTCTTCGATCTGAAAAATCGACGAAAAACCATGTATACGGAACACTGTTAAAATAATTATGTATTATAGTGGTTCCCAAAAAGTGACCCGCGCTTCCTTAGGAAGCGCATACACTTATTGTGGAAGGCGCAAGGCAAATATTAATATTGTACATTACACTATCAAATATTTAGACTTTTAGACTGAAAGTAATTTGATTTTATTAAAATAATAAAAATAAAAAAAAAATTTTATTTATTTATGGAAGGCACGATTACATTTTTTTTTTTGTTATGGAAATGCGTGAACCAAAATAGTTTGGGAAATGCTGATATATTAGATTCTCGGGCATATACATGAAACTAGACATTTCAATTAGATCGGGTGAAAATATTAACACTCAAAAAGATTATATTTCACTTCAAGAATAGTATAACGATGAATATGTTATCAATAAGAGATATTAATTTTTCGGTAGTTGGCATTTCCTCAGATTAACCCTTGATTGTAAAAAATCTTTTCCTCACAAACATATACAATTTGTTAGGTATTCCGAAACGTGCATTTTACAAAGTATTCGAATACAGTACTATTGTTATACAATGAACTTATGTTGTACTTATGTTCTAATACTACTAACGGTAAATTATAAATGTTAGTGCAAGTTTCGTATAGTCGTTTTGTAAATATTAATTTTGACTAGACTATGAGCCTAATTATACTATAATCTCATCACGTTTAGTTGCTCTGAAATGTTGAAGACCTAAGAATATTTTTTCTCTTTGTGTTACAGGCTTTGCAACCCAAGTATTAAAAGTGGTTGTCGGTTTTTGATTCAGATTGGTTTATAAAAACAAAATAATTGATTTTCATTTAAATTAATTTAGTAATTAAAGGTATTTTTCGATATTATATTGATCATATACTGCAATCTAAGATAATTTTTATTTATTTATCGCTGCATAGTGGCAATAAATATCACTTTCCTTGGTTGTTATCCATATGATACTAACTCTTTATATTAACAGTGTTTTAGTTATTTTAAAGTAGTCACAAATTGAATTATTAAGAATAAAAAAAAAAAAAATTGTAAATTATAATATTTAGAGTTATGATTTTACAATTTAAATTACATGATTTTTTATGAATTTTTAATAATTTAGTGAGGTGTTTACGTCATTCATCAACAAAAATATCTCGACATAGTCGGTAAAAAATGATCAAATTACACACCTTTGATCTATGTTCTATTATAACAGTCCTTAGGAAACATTCACATTGCCACGGGTTTTTTGACAACGTTATAGTGTCTAAACTTGGTAACAATCTTATTACTTTATCATTCAATAATGTTAACTTGTTATTATCGACGTACAAAACCTAAAAAATTGGTAAATCAATGATGAATAACAATTTTAGTTAACAGCTAACGTATATATAATTTTTCTAACCTTTAAACTTTTGGGCAAAAGATTAGCGTCCAATGTCGTTAAACCATTTCCACTTATATCCAACAAGGTAATGCGATAACTGGTCAGATCTGGTTGAACTTTGAACAGGTTATCACTCAAAATTAAATGAACAAATAACGACGATTTGTTCTCGAAAACAGGAAAAATCGTTGGAGCTGTAGTCAAGTTTTTGTTTGAACATTGGATAGTGGTCGCATTTTCGGTTGGCAAAAAATAACATTCGCAAATCGTAGAACAATTTTCTATTCGATCAGCTATAATCCCTTTACAGAAATACACAAAAGGAACGCGTTAGGTATGCCAAATCATAATTTTTGACGTTCTTAAATCAATCTTACAATAATCATTTTCTCATGAACAATATATCCACCGTAAATCGATATCGTAACAGTGATTTTCAGCTCGGTGTGGGAAATATTTAGTCCTAAAATTGTGACTATATATTAGACTGTTTTCCATTGGTGCAGATGCGTAACCGCGAAAAACAGTAAAAAAAGAGGTAGGGGCGGAGAGAGGGAGGCTGCCAAAGTGTAAAACTACTGATTTATTACGATGACATAGTGACATAACGGAATAAGTAAAAAATAAGTCTAAACGATCTACCAACGTTGGTTCAAACCCAGCGAAATATGAACTTAATTAAAACAATTGCAACTCAAGGAAAAAAATTAGGATTTACAGAGCTCCCTACGCATAAACAACGGAAACCCACTGTATATTCAATAAAACTTATCATTCAGTACACATCGGTCTAAAAAAAATTGTCGCTCAACCAACCTGCGACGGTTGTACGAGTTTGAAAAAGTCAATAAATAATACTAATACGTAATACGTGTATCATAAAATATCAATCGGATGTTGGGTTGTTTTATTCCGCGGATTTTTAGTTGTATTTCGGGGACTTTTGGTTTCCTTTAACAAGATAATCAAAATCACACCCTAAAACAGTCGAAAGAATCGAAAGTCCTTTTGGATACATTGTAAGCCCTTCTGTCGCGCTCGCTCACCCAGCTGGAAGACGGCCGTCCTCATCACCCCACCGCAATACTTGTTGGCGTCGCCCGGACACTGGGCGGAGCACTCGTCGTCCCTCACTTTGAGATCGTAGCTCGGCGGAGCGTTCGCGCACCAACACGTCTCCCTGTACGAGAGCCCGTAGTACCGGTAACCGTTCCGGTAACAGTGTTTCGAGCAGATTTTCGGCGTGTTCACGTACGGGAAGTGGATCCGAACAGTGATCCCGTCGTCGTTTCCAGCCGGCTTGGCGCCGACGCTGGCCGCAGACTCGACGTAGCAGCCCATGTAATTGTCCCCGGCCACCCGAGACGTTATCAGACCGGTGGTGAACACGTTGTAATGGCCGCGGCCGCCACACTTGTGATCCGACGTCGAGCCGCCTGGGCACGTGGCGTCGCAGTGGTACGCGTCGGCTCTCGCTTCGAGCGACGGGCTCACGAAACTGCACACGCACTCCGTTCTGTGACACACGCGCGACGTGCACGTCCACTCGTAAGTACGATAATTATTCACAGCCTATTGCGATACATACATATGTCTACAATTGCGTGGGTGGCCCCGGCGGCGTTCGGCGACGGGACACCCCTATGGTTGGAAATAATTAACGGGATCGCATTGGTTTGCCTGTACCCTGCGCCCTAGTCCCTAACACGGATCTGGGTGCACAGTCGAGTCCGGGCAACGTACACGATCGTCAAGAAGCGTTATCGCCGAAATGCCATAAGGTCTGCTATTTAGCGCACGTGAAATGTTTTAGGTACTTGTCTTACCACACAATATTTTCAAAGCCAAACCAGCTACATGCGAATCGTAATTTCTGTTGGATAGCAACTGCTGCTGAGTGTAAAAATGTACAGCACTGATACAGTTCTTTTACGCCTCGATCGTTATACCTTTCATGGTTATTTAGCGAAATATCAACACTTGTAAACAAATTAACAAAAAAAAAAACAAAACCGAAAAAATCGTGACAGTTCTTATAGCGCGTTTATATAATATACCAAAAATATGTCAATAAATATAAATATGACGCATTGCGTGCGTCTAAGGTTTTAGTTCGAGAGATGCTTGGAGTTCAGTACTTCTCTAAACACATTCAAATATTCGTAAAATTTGTATTTAAAATGTGTGTGATTTTTTTAAGTATTTCGATTTAGAATACTGACATCGAGTGCTCATGAAAAAAATGTTGATTGCATTAAAATATAATATCGATTTAACAGTTATTAAATTTGTATAAATACTAAATAACCACTAGTAAGTGTTGTTTTTTGGCTTCATAAATAACTTAATAGGAAAATTTAGTGATTTTTAGAAGCGACTAATTTAGGTAGGTACAATATGTAATATAATCATTCGTAATTGGACTAATTTGTTTATATAGGTATATATATATATATATATATATATATATATATATATTCTACACAGCACAACAATTAACTCCTATGTAAACCTTTGTAATAGTACCTAAAATGCGATCACTTATTGTTTCATATATTCTATATTTACATATACTTATATATATGGGTGTATCATCCAGGGGCGTATTTAGACTTACTTCTAGGGGGGGAAGGCGACTCAAATTTTTTCTTTAACTCAGACTCAACATTTACAAGTAAAATTTTTGGTAATATTTACATCAGGTGAATTTTTAATATTTGTTGTTTTTTTTTCTTTTGATCTAATGCCGGATCCACTTAGTATGGTCTTTTTGTGTAGTTCTTTTTTAACACCTATCTGTGTTTTGAAAGTTTCGTATGTGTTTTATCTAATTTTTCACCAAGTATGGACTGGATCTTCAATCAAAATAATATATATTATTTATCGTTATGGGACATATAAATATTATAAGCAATTGAGCGTTTAACGCTATAAATAATTTAAACGTTATAAAAAATTTAGCGTTTTGCGTCATTTAAATAAGTGTAAAATTTGAAACGTTTTCAAATGTAGTAATACTATAAAATAAATCATAATTCTTGTTTCTTAATAAAATACCCATTACTTATATAAAAATTGTTTTGGTCTAAAAATTGTCATGGGGGGGAAGGGTGGTGGCCCCATCACCCCTCTCAAATACGCCACTGGTATCATCTGCCTAACACTAATAACATTAATACCAATTAAATTATACACTGTACAGAATTTAATTGAAATTACGCCATTTGTTATGTAAGTATTCTTATGTGTGTTTTCTCAATAGATACTCGTTTGTTGACCATCGATTTATCCTGGGGATTATTGAAGTTTTACTTGGCCCGTTTATGGTGTTAAGATATAAAAACAAATGTATTTAAACATAAATAAGGCATTAAACTAGGGTACGGCATTATTGGCAGGGTAAAAAATAAATTGAAGTATTCTTCAACCAACACCGAGGTGCAACAGATATAATGTCTGATAATATTGATAATACTGAGTCTCTTGTCGAAGAACGATTCGAACTGTATGTGAACAACGTATTTGGTGACGAGATCAACACCAAAAATACAAGTGTCTCTAATAAAAAATACGTTTAGCTACTAGCATCACTAGTAAATATTCATTTTTAATTATTAACGTGTTAATATACAATATATAATATAATATAATATATACAATATTGTGATGAAGTTGTCTGTAATTTTTATTTTATAATAAGAATACTTACTACCCGTAATATTTTACACGATAAGTGTAGGTAATATGTGATAACAGCTAGTAGAATACAGTAATTTGTTTTTGATAAGTTTAAAAATTATATTATTATCTAAACATTGAATACTTATAAGCAGTTAACTACTAGGTAAATATTTTTATTTTTACGTAGAATATTTCGAAAAAATGTTCTGTTATAGAGTTTAAAATTTAAAAAACTTTATGTTATTAAAATTTCTAAAGCGTAAAAAATGTCAAGATAAATAAAACCATAATAACTAACAAATAATGCATACATATTATAACTAAAGATATCTTAACGATTGTAATAAAATCCAACATTTTTAAAAAAAAAAAACTTCCTAGTACGATTCTCCAATAACTATATGGGAATTTTGGAGTAGGTTAATCCAAAAGTCCCACTGCAATGAACATGTTGTATAATAATTTCCGTAGCCGTTCATGATGCAAACATATGAATTAAGGTAATATACGTAACGTGATATATTAAAAATCGTGTGCAATATATACATAAAACACCAACTTTTTCTGTTTCGAATCTTTTAACTTCCCCGTCCCCGTCCCCGTCATCGTCCCCGTCCCCGCCCCCTCATCGTTAATCGAGTTCTGTTGATGGTAAAAAACGTGCAAAAATATAGAAAAACTTTTTTATTTAAACAATTTATAGAACTTACTGCGATGCGAGTGCGGCGTACGAATACCCTCGGTTGTAGCAACTCGAAACACACAACTCTGATGTTAGCCATCGAGGAAATGTTATGTTCCATCCTTCCATCACTGGATACATCCATGAGTTTCGAAAACATCCAAAAAGTTTTTCAGACAGATTCCCGGTGCCTGCGAACAGCAACGGTTTATATTTTTACTATAGTCTATCTAGCATTATGCTTACGGTTATCAGCTCCGTCCCACTATAAAATTATAAGAAAACAGAATAATTATTCGTAAGTTAATGCATAGTTCTGGGCAATCCAATTGTAATATTAATTTATAAATTAAACTTATGAAAAATGTATACGAAAATTTGGCGCACATAGTTTCAAAAATTTGACATTCGGAATTATATCAATCATTCTAACCGATTAAAACATTAAATATACATAATACTTTATGTTAGGGTAAACAAATAAATTCTCTTAATGTGAATTGTTTAAAAAAAAATAAGGACTTACCAATCCAATCATTTTCGTAAACGCTTATTGAGCTAGAACCACCGCAATATTCCGATTCGTCTCCTTCACATTTTTTGCACTCTTCTCGATTTTTTTGTTCGCTTATGCCTGGTTTTTCGTGACTGCATTCGCAATAATCCCTGTTAGTACACGAGTGTTCACGTAAGTGTATCGTAACATATACATATTTATGTGGTAGCAAAGCAAGAAAGGTAGTTTGGTGAGGGGAGACTGTTACAGAAGATCGATCGGGTTTATATGTTGACGTTTATAAATTATATTATACACATTTAATTTTTAAAATTTAAAACAATTGATACAATGAAAAAAATATATAAAATTCCGACTACGCAATCTTTTAAATTTTTCATATATTTTAAATATAGGTTAGGTTAATTGTTGAAAATGATGATAAGTATCAAACTGTATTAACCCCTTTCATCGAATCCGGTCCGATTTGCCGTTTCCTTTTTACGACTGACCCGAGAGAAGAAATCATCACCACCACCACCACCATCATCACTAACCCTGTTTAATGAGTAATCTTATGGAGTATTTATAAGAATAATTGTTAAAGTATAATTTAAAATAGAGAACATTAAAAAACAAAAAAAAAAAAAAAAATTAAAAACATTTAAAATCGTACTACCAACACACGTGTAAAAGATAGATCGAAAGCAAATACACGATAATTCACTCACGTCTACGGATATTAAACCGATTGAATTGTTATTCTCTCAGGAGTCGATGTTAAACCAAACCGATAAATATTAGAAACTGCGGTTCTCACTACTTTCAAAGTATGATGAGGGAATTATGCTTGACAAGAGTAAATTATAATATAACATACGCGAATATATTTTCTAACGAAATGAATTTTTTCACGCGATTACGCAGCCAGTATGTACTCCGTTTGTTCAGAGGTACTGACACAACATATTGCCAAGAGATGTACTTCATTTGGCACGGTCTTGGACCTGTTTTGTGGTGCCGGAGGGAATGTTATACAGCTGGCGTTGATTTGTGACCACGGTAAGCTTGATCATACTACGATTGAACAGTACTATAAATCAACGCAATAATATGATAGGCTCGTGTTTTTTTTTTTTAGTTATCGTCATCGACTTGGATCTAAAAAAAAAATAGCTTTGACCAAAAAAAAACGCAGAGATTTACGGAGTGGCCCACCGGATAGATTTTAGGGTGGGAAATTCTTTCTTGGTGGCCGCTAACCTCAGGGTGGACGCCGCTGTCACATCACCGCCGTGGGGTGATCCCGGGTACGTAAAACGAGCAAATTTTGACGCCAGAGACCTTCGTGGACGTGAAACTGGTGGCGTGGCAGCTATTATTCGGATGGCACGTGCAGTTGCGCCTAGGGTGGTTCTGCACGTACCGAAGAATATAAAGCCCAAGTACGCGTTACGCGATATCATAACATAATAATAATAATATAAAAACGTGTGACGTGTACAATACTTAATATCGACCTCCGAGACAGCGAAAATGTCATATTTTAGTTAAAAACAGATACTAGTTATAAGGGATTTTCAAATACTTACTGCAAACGATAAGTGATATTATAGAAACCTGTTGCCTTACATTAAAATTAATTGATTAATTGATTAAATCAAATGATACTTTTTATTTTCGTTTCACTATTCCGTGCATCGCAGTGTCTGCAGATGGCAATGGACAAGAGGTTCAGTCGAATACAGTACGAAAGTGTATCGATCGACAAAAAACCCAACTGTCTAAACCTCTATCTTTCAAGAGTACGTATTACAATACTATTACCATTTCTGCCATAAATATTTTATCATCCGTGGACGACGTTGAAATTCTATGTCTCACGTTATTAAAAGTACCTATGATATATTTAAAGCGCGTTCATTTCGACTTTCATTTCAGATCCCCATAGTAAAGTTCCAAGTTTTTTTTTTGTACTAACTCTTTTCAATTGTTTTAAAAGTAATAGCGGCTATTTTACGTTGGCATTGTGTTATCGTTTTTAGAATGACACTCGTGCACGAATAATACCACAGTTTAAACTTCAAAATCGGTGCAACTGGATAATCCATGTGGCTAAAGAACTTTCAGTGTATATACTTATAAATCGATAACACGTATGCTAATTTTATTTTCTTTTTTCTAGCATTAAATAGACAACAAAAATCGAGCGTCTTCGTACAGAGAACAAGTTCATGTACAAGAAGTATTTAAATAAGGTTGCCCGATTTTTAGAAACTTGATTTTAATCAGATTATTGAATCTATTAAGCACAACGTAAGCTAAAAGAACGAGGAACAATATATTTTGTTATTATTATTAATTAAAAACAATTTTTTTTCCTAGATCATCTTCATCCTACCAAATATACGAAAATTACAAGAACTCGCATTCAACTAATTTCGGTTCTTACTCAACCGAAAACAACGAAATTTGTTTGAATGCACAGAGAAGTTATTGAAATATTTATTTACTTGGAAAATAGAAACCGCATATAAATATTAGTGCAATACACAGAAAACCTAACGTAACCTAAATTGGCCTTAGAAATGTCCTGACAAAATATTTAAGTTTATGCGTCCCCGTTGAACATAACAATAACTGAATACAAAATAAAAAACGAAAACTGTATATAAAATTGCGATGTCGTTTATCTTACTGTACTTACTCGCTAACCGCCGCGTACTTGTACTGTCTCTCGTTGCAAATGTAAAAACACCTATGCGGATCGATATTCTCCTTGAGCGTGTTTATATTTTTTCCGGGTAGCTTGAAATCAACCAAATTGAAACAACCAACCGGTTGGCCTAGTGGGTAATCTGCGTGTGACAAAAAAAAAAAAAATTAATCAATTGTAGACATGTTATAACAATCCAATATGGTTTCGTATACTCCCCATCGACCCTATCGAATATGTTATACATGCATAATTGTCTAACCGACGATTCCAGTGGAATAAACACTCAGTCTCCATAAACCACCGCATTTCTTCGTCTTGTCGCCGGAGCACGGGACGTTGCATTTCGCATCGTTTATTTTGAAACGTCTTGAAGGATATTGATTACCACACCAACAAGCAGTTCTGGAAGTAAATCGTATAATTACAACGACATCAACAATAATTATTATCATCGTAACGCTAAAAACATTTGTATACTATGCCTATACGTATCGAGCTATTAATATTATGCACTAGTAAACGGTCTGAACTGCTCTGTAGAAAACAAAATTAGTTCGCCTTGCAAGTGTCAACTAAGTCGCACGTGGCAGGCTTGATCGTCATTAACAATAATTGTAATAATAAATCATACTGTCGTTATTATACGTTCATAGGTATAATATAATTTAACTACAATTTGATTAACAATCAATAATAAAGAATTATACGATGGTCGTACAGTAGCACAACCTCAAACATCACAATAACAATAAACGCACGCGGTGATCGTATACAATGACACAACCGATAATAATATAAATAAATAAGTTGAATGTACAGCCATAAAACTTAATAATTATAATACTAAAAATAATAATAATAAACATTAGTCCGACAATCGACCGACTGATTCGGATAGTAATAATAATAATGTACGGTGACTTGACCAATCGGTACTAACAGCAGTTGGATTTATTATTATCACATTTCCTACAAACAGCGCCTTGTAAATAACGGGTACTTGCAACGTTAGGGATAATTTTCTAAGATATAAAATATAAAAAGTTCTGATATTAATACTTATAGTATTTAATAAATGTATACTTTATTTATATATAGCACCGGGCGTGTTATGTAGTTTTTATTGTTTGTAGGTATTATAGCTGTGTTTAAATACACCACCACTTATGGCTGATCGGAGCGTCAACACCGCGTACCACTACCTAAAAAACGATGATATTAGTACGCGATTATAGGCGATTCTATGAATATTTAAAAGTCGACTACGAAATGAAAACAATAATTTATAAAACTGTTCTAATTTATACGAATTATTATTGATTTGGGCTTCGATAATATTTTGTTCTTGATCAGTGGTGGATCTATTATTTTTTTCATGGTTGGTGCTATTTTACTAATAATGGTTCTTAATGTACGACTTCGTGACAAAAACAAACTGTTAATTTAGGGTTTAAATATTCAGGATAATCAATAGTGTTATGTGCAAGTATTTTTTTTTTATTATCTCTCTCTATATATATATATATAACGTACATAATGTTCCTTCATCATATAAACATTTTTTAAAATTATAAACAATTCAAATAAAGTCGAATTTTTAAGATAGTAAAAACTATATAATGCCGTTATTTAGCCATCACAGGTATACTGCGTTTCTCGGGCGTGCAAGTTAAAAACGGAAAACGTACAATTGTTTGATATTATTACCCCAGTTTTTCTCCGTTCGTAGTGCCCGAATATAGAAATCCTATTTTGAAACATTCTTCCGAACATTTTTGAGGAGTGTTGTCTTCGTATCGCTCGTGCGGAAATTTCAACAGCCTGTTCTTCTCGTCTCCCATCTTTTCCCCGTAGCATCCTAGGTAAATGGCTTGAGGATAACTCTCTTCGCCTAAAATGCGCATAATATAGCAATGATAAATAAAAAAAATGTAAGCCATTGAAATGACGCACGCCGTTTCAACATCTTTGGTGGAGCGACTATTTACTTGTATTTCGAGTTTTGAACATTTTAAAATGCGTTCGATCACACCTGGCCGACGAGATTCCGGCGCAAGACGAATCGCAATCGGCGTCGAACGACTTCATTAATTTGGACATGTAATTATGAGTGCAGCGACAAGATCTATATATATATATATATATATAAACATATAATATAATAAAGGCGTATTGACGAACATAATATTTCAAAGTAAACGTTAGTTGTATTTATCTTACGACTCGTTGAACTCGGCATAAGTATAATTTAATGCTAGGCAATCATTTGAACACGTTTCAGGTGTTTGAGATGTGACTTTTACGCCATTCGAAACGCTCAAATCTTCGTTTAAAAAACATCCCAAATATTGCGGACTGGACGCTAAAAGATATAGAAACATACATTATGCTTCTGTTATTACATTTTGAATACCCATGGAGTGATAATTTTGGTAATGATAAACAGTGGCTTATTACAAACGTTAAATTACATTTATATTATGGATCTATAATGCATGATATATCTATACTTTATATAGAGACTTAAATTTTGTTGAAGCTAAGATTTGTAAAGTTCAATTCTAACTAAACGTACCTAACTCTAATAGAGTCTACAATGTTCAGTTCGTATTGTCCATGTGCGCGGATAACAAAATAATCGTTCGTATCGACTATAGTGTTGTAAAATTATTGGTAATTTATTTTTAGGTAACTTACTTGATGAAATAACTTGTTACTTGTTATTTTTATGTTACTTTTTTAAGGTAATATTGGGAAATTTATTTTTCAATACCCATATACTCAGTTGAATAAAAAAAGTAATATTAAATATTAATTATTATTTATTATTAAAACACCTAAATGACTACACTGGACTCCAAACTTTTATTTTTTTTTTAAGAAAATTCATCCTTTATTTCTATTTAATATTATTTCTTCTTATATAAAGCATTGAAATATATTTTATAAAAATATAGTCATTAGCCAATATAGATATTTATTAAATTTTATAAATTCTCAATAAAATATCCTTCGTCCAATAACGTAAAATATCAACTTTTTATGTAGACACTCACCGGCCGAACCGATTGGCGCGAGGTACAGGCACTGTAGGACGGCCAAGTGAATCCATGGCAAACGGTTAATGAGACGTTCAAAGACCATCTGAGCTGCACTGCGATGTTGATATAGTTTATTATATTACAAGAGAAATACGTGTACGTAATACGACCGGCCGACGGCCCAAACACGTATCGTATATGGGCGTGTGGTTACGAACAAAAGTTATTTTCCTATTACGATATAGAATCCAGACCTAAGTATCTAATGGATCGTTGTGGCGTTACGGATTCGTCCGATGGTACGTCATCATGTTGCCGTACGAGGAGATCGTTTTTGATTTCGCAATAGAGTTGAAGCGTGACCGCGCGGAGAAGGAAACCGAAAAGGATTGTTAAAAACGAAATGAGGAAATCACTTTTGCACGTATACTACGGTCACGCGGTTGTATTATCGCGCAGAGTCGGTCCGTCGAACAGCGCTGCAGTATTCGTACTGAATATTTCGCGAAAAACGTCTCTCGCCAATTGTTCGTATTATTCATTAATCATTATTATACTGATTTTCAATGTTATCAGTATTTATTTTCGATTACCATCGTTGTTTTTGTTGTTATTATTATCACTACTACCTAAAATTTATAATTATTGGCCCGGGTAGGACAAACGATGAGGGAAGTGTTGTAGTGTTGTACTGTAGACTGCTAGAGCCAAGCTCACAAAAACTGCGCACACGTTTCCGCAACGTTCCACTATAGAACGTGATGTGCACGCCGTATAATAAATAATTTATTTATTTTTTTTTTTTTTTTTATCAATCCGTGGTGACTCAGGGCCATTGTATTTTCTATGTTTTCGAAACGATAGTTTTGTGTCGGTTCATTTGTAGACCACTGTTGGTATATTTTACGTATTATTGTGTACGATATGGTTCGACGATCGTCCCGCGTCCGTAAACTTCCGAAACCGCCTGAGTTCGAACCGATACGTTCTGATCATCTTGCACCGCTTCGGCCTCGACGCCCCCTGCCGTTTCAACGGTGTTTCTGACGAGAACCAGACGTCCGAACGAATGCGTCCTTATTGTATACGCACGACGGTATCACGACAGCAATGTACGACGAAAACATTATTGTTCGCTTGAATGACACGCAGGATAGTCGTTGTTGCATTCGGTACGATGTACATACTATGTACCTACGTTACATATTTTTATGAATTTACGCGTTTCCGGCGACGTACTAGTGTCCTTGTCACCGATAGAGCTTACACGTTTCCGCTTGTATTAGCGGTCATGTTTCCGCTCTGCAGCTGTCCGAAACGAAACTAGTACAGTTATTACAAGCAATAACGTGTACCAAGTTACATATATTGCTTCAGTTGTACAATGGAAGTTGCGATCGCTAAACGATCGTTTCACAGCCTCCGTTTCGGAAGTTTCGAAAATTCATCAAAATATTCCAATATGTATCTCGGGCTCTTATTTTTTTTTTTTTCTGTTACAATTATAGTTTGTACTAGTGATGAAAATCACATTTTGAATTTTAGACTAAAAAATCTAGATTTCGAAATTTAACATCCAAAATCTGGTTTTTCGGATTTCAAAATTTCAATATCTGAATTTGGGTTTAAAATCGTTGAAAATTGTATTCTAATTAAAAAATAAAATTATAACGGAATGTATAGTTATCAAAATTTTAATTTAAGTCATATATAAAAGTATACATTTTCAATTTTTCAAAATCCGAAATCTAATCTTAGAGTAAAATCCGTATTTTTTAGCCTTTATTTTATAAAATAAAAATATATATGAGATAACACAGTCCTAGTGATTAAGATCTAATTAGTTTTTTTCTTACAATTTATATGCTAGTACAAACAATGAACTTATAACTTTAAGAAGTTAACTCTTGAAATATGTTTTTAATATTTGACAGTTATATATTACGGTTTTTACGTATAAATGTATACAGGTTTTACCTACTTATTTTAATAATCTAATTGTAAAATATATACTGACATTAAGAAATTAAAATCACCCCCAAAACAAAATCCTTAGCAAGTCCCTGGAAATAGACACCAGTAAATAATTTAAGTAGAAAATATATAATTATTCAAACATTGTAATAATATTATAATAATTCTGCTGAATCTACGATTTCGAATCCAAAACAAAAGTAAATATATTATTTATTATAGCAAGTATAAAATTATTTATTAGATACCATAGAGAACGTCTCTCGGGATTAATAAGTATGATTACGTATTAAAAAAAAATTTGTCCCGATTATTTGCACCAAGTTTTTACTGTAAATTGTCAAACTTGACGTGTTCGGCGTGTTTTAATGTGTTGTACAAAATGACCTTGGTTCGCAAACAAGTAGCGCACTGTTTTTCCGCGTTACATCTATAGCCGTTTAAAATAAATTATAATACATTTTTGTTTAAAATTCAACAAATTAAAATAATCTCGCCTGATTAAAATTTATCGAGTCATATTATACTCATAATACTAGTATTTTATCACACACAAGTGGTTCTCAAAATACTTTGAATTATTATTATTATTTCATAGTTTAGAGTCGTAAATGGAGTTAAATGGACTACATGAAAGCACATTTTATCGAACTTTAACTATGAGTAAGATAGCTGAAAAGTTTCTCGGGATCTTCCTATAGTTACCACTTGAGTATTTTAATATTTTTATCTTAAAAATTTATTTATTGTAAGATCTTGGTGACTGCAGAATTTATGGAAGGTACAGTTGGTGAACAGTCTGCTATTGATGATTTTCTTTGATTAGCTAATTGATTAAGAATAGAAAAATTAGAAAACAGTTCATCAGATATGTATCAAAAACTATTATTAATTCGTTTACAATTATATAATAATCAATTATTAATTCATTAAAAAAAAAAAAAATTATTAATTCTCAACATTCAATTGTGAATAAATAAAGTAATGTAAACTGCAAGGCCATTGTATCATTATACTACACAAAGAATATTACTTTATTTTAAAAATATATAACGAGATACATTTGAACACCAAGTAAACATATTTTGAGGAGACACCTGGATAATTAATTAAACTTTAATAACGATTTTCAACACTCTTTTCAGTTTTGTGATGTCAAAATAATAATGGTTTTTTAAAATAACTGTTAAAATAATAATTTTAGTTTTCATCATGAATCAAAAAAATCCAAACTATAATTTATCAAAAATTTAAGATTTCGGACATCGAATATTATTACTCTAAATTTTTATTTTACAATTTGATTTCGATAAAATTCCTAAAATAATGTTCATCACGTTAGAAAAACATAGAATTAGAATAAGAATTATGATTTTGCAACTGTCAATATTTTAATTATATTTATTATTTTCAGTGTTCAGTCGTTGTTAAATATCATTATTACTCTAGACGGAGAATAATCATAATTTAGTTTGAAAAAAATCGAGCTAATTGTCACAACACAAATGAAAACCTAGAATCATACATCTGTCAATTTGTAAATAAAATAAAATAATGTTTGTCATACACACATAGCTCGCTGATCTTTCATAATTAAATTCCAATATAATTAAGATAATTTTTTCAAATTATTGATAATGTGTTCTGGGATTTTTATGTATAATTAAAGTTACAGCTATTTACTAAGAAATATTTTTAGTTGCCATTTACTTCACGTCTCATCAAAACTACTTTTCGTATAAATTGAATATTTGTATGTAAATTACTAGCAAATATTATACTATGAAATTATCCACATTTTAATCATAATTTAATATAAAAATAGTTACTCTTCACTGAAAACAGAAATTGTCAAATCTTCTCGAAAAACTTGGTTGATAATATAAAATAATACTGGGTTGTAAAATCAATGTTTTAATTCATCCATTCCGTTTTTTATCATTAACTCATTTATAACTAAAATATTACAATTTTATTTTAGAAATTAAGTTAGTGTTTTTCTTTTTAGAAACTCAAAAAACAAAATAAATATTTTAAGCAAATTGATATTATCATTATTTTAAAACAATAAAATTCATTGAATCATATTAAAATAAAACTTAAGCACGGGAATAGTTCAAGCACCATGATCGGAAACATAAAGAAAATCCATACATGAGTGTGAAATTAATAAAACTAATAATAATACAAGGTAATTTGCATTCATCAACATACAAATCGCGTGTTAGCTTTACCGCTAAACATATATTGTATATTTTTATACGAATAACGACATTCGTTTTATTGAAATTACTCCAATAATGTAGCTTAAAATTACAAGGTAAAGCCCTTATGATGAAAACACATTGTAATTATTTGTAATAATATTCTTAATGAATTAAAAAAAAAATACAACATATTAATTAGATTAAAAGCAATTTTTAATTTTTATTATTTTCGAAACCCAAAATCATAATTTTATATGTGTAACACATATTAAGTATAATGCAATTGATTATAATGGCTTTAAAACAACTACTTATTACTATTATACGAATACCTTCGTTTATTATTTTGATCCAAAGTCCGAATATAATATTTGTAGAGAATAAATTAAAAAATATAAAAACTAATGTTTTTTATGTTATATAGCAGGGGTGGTCAAATTACGGCTCGCGAGCCTCATGCGGCCCTCGTCATAGTTGTATGCGGCTCGCGGTCTTATTTACAAAAACCAAAATTTTAAATTTTTTTATATACATTTATAAAAAAAAAATTTTATTGCATAGATATAAGGCTATAGTGTACAGATTAATAAACATAAAAAATAATAATGATTAATAATTTATTATTGTTATAATATTTATTATATTAATAATCATAATTTATAAGAATAATGAATTAAAAAATTAAACATAAAGTTAAATTTGTTTGCGTGGTATTTTTTTCATTTCTACTTTTGTAGTAAGCTTCTTAAGATCTGAATTGATGTAAGAGTAGCTCTTAGTAATTCTGTGAGATAATCATTAGTCAAATTTTAACGATATTTTGACTTAATTATTTATATATATATATATATGTTTATCGACTGTTAGCTTTCTTAATTACTTTTGTAGTATAAAAGTACTGATTAGATAATTTGACTCTTAATATAATATTATTAATACATGTGGTTCGTGTACAAAGTCATGTTGGCCACCCCTGTTATATAGCAACCTACAATGACGTCAAATTATGTATTATTATGCCTCATATAGAAAAATAAATAAGGCTTTATTTTTTACGACCCTTATAGTATGTCATACACACAAAGACATAAGTAATAAAATTAATTATAAATAATACATATCATACACATACACATCAAACACTGATATTGCTAATGAAGTGGTTAAGTTTAACAAGTGGTCAGGGCTGTCCCGAAGATGAAAATCAAGGGTGGGTGAATAATATGAAAAATGCCGACTACAATTTTTTTACTCAATGTATATAGTACTATAATTAAGTATATGTAGTTGTATTTTTACTTTTCAACATGTATATATGTGTCAGTATCGTACGTTCTTAAAATTGAAAATTTAATCATATATATATAACTGACAACAAACTACTATCACCACTGTTTGTCTTGAAATGGTCTCATACGAATCGATGTGTTACACGACTTTTCTTTTAGTCGGCGACTCAAGCGTGAAAAACGCGCGACAAGCCCAAAAACAGTGTGACGTCTCGATTCATATGAACATTTTGCAAAAAATACAACTAAAGTTTTTATTTTTAAATTTAAGGTAATATCCTAAAAATATAATTGAATAAAACAAGATTTTGGATATTTCAAAAAAATTAAAAAAAATCTACTTTGAGCTATCACAGCGAGTACGCGTATGCTAATGTCCTCATCCATTCTAGAAACACTCTGTATATAATAAGTAGTTATATAAATTTTATTCGTGTATAAACTGTATTACGAAATAAGTAATATTTGATTACCGTAAGTAAAATTAGGTCCTTCTAGGCTATAATGAAACAAGTCGGACTGCCGACTGGTGTTTTTGTTAGGGGAAGTGAGACATTCCCCCAAGACCACCCTTCGGGACGCCCCTACAAGTGGTCACTGACTCTTGTCCATGCCAATCACCGAGTTCAGTTAATTAAAATTGATTTTAACAAAATTGGAAATTTGCTGGTCTACGCATGACCCTTTACAATCGATCTCACCCATTATATTTCCAAGCACGACAATAATGCTCTTTTTCATTCACGGTTATGTGATTTAAATCCCATTTATCAAAACTGCTCAATATCTCAAATACTCTCAAATGTTAAAGATATGTATTTAGGTTATATTTGTTTTTATTTGAACATGTTGATAAGGTAAATTATAATTATTTGATATAATGTTAATAAATAAAATTTTTAATTTCAGTATAATGAGTATGCAGATGTTTTTATCGCTTAGAAGTATCTGTTGATTTGTGATTTTATGTACAATACGTGTTTACTCGCTTTAATGATAAATCAGTGATGTTCTGATATTTCATACTATTGGATATCATCATCCTTAATACTAAATTATACCTGATGGCATGTTTAATTTTAATGATTTAAAATGTATTTTAATTAAGATTTATGTATTTTGTTCAGAACATGTTGAATGTATACATGTGCTCTAATTAAGAAAAGTGTATACAACATAAATCTCTAGGATAACGAGCTTTCTTTAAAATTCCATATATTATACACGTCAAAAAATTCCAAACTATAACCTCAAGAATTCGAACACAGTGCTGTATTTACCTCTTGCTCTATTTTAAAATTTGATCAAATTAAATAATGTTCAATTATTCATTGTTGTATATAATTTATTTTTGATCTGGTACAAAAATGCCTATATATTATAAGTTTAAATAAACAGAAATGTACATTCTCCCTCCCCATTTAAAATAACTTTGTAATAACAGAGAAACGCTAATATGTAAAAATCTGGTTACCAAAAAAATGAATTTACTACTTAGACACCGCGCTTCATTTGACAATCATTATTTTACGAGATCCATTTCTTACATAGGAATTGCTCATAACTACTTTTTAGATTTCAAATGGACTCAGGACTTCAACAATTATATAATAACCCATTGTTTAATCATATATACAATTGTAGTCCACCCTAATACGTTGCTCGGTGTCTTAGTATTAGAAAATATGTGGTATACGTTTGAAATGTCCACAAGTACTGTTTGGACAACTACAAATGAGTCACAAATAATAATATTGCGCCCGATTTTTGTTAGAATAGGTCATTAAACTTACACGTCGTAGTTCCTGTATGTAGGCAACTCGTAACATGTTACGCACGAATCGTGCGCGCGGCGATGGCGAAGGAACGGAACACAAGTTACTTTTGCACACAGGAACGAGGATGGTAAAGTTTATTTATAAGATGGTAGGTCTCTGTGGTCGGATCATACCGACCACACAGAGGTTACACACAAATCGGACAAATACTTGTAAACTAAATTTAAATTACGTGACCACTAGGCGATGAATGGTAAAATGGTAACTGGTGAGAAGTTATAGACTACATGGACGGCCACACGAACACCACACCGGGTGTTACACGTCGATGGAAACAACAGCAATCACGGATGGACAATGACACGATTATGAATGGAACAAAATACATACAAAATGAATAACTCACAGGACACACAATGTGGTAATGGAGTAAATAAGTTCTGGTAATTCTGTGGTTCCTGATATTGGTTGGTTTATTTTGTTTAAATAAAGTAAAACGTATACATTGTATACTATACAAGGTAAAATTACAACTGCTTCAATGGCGATAAAGACAATAGATAATAGTAATTAGTTGGTCGCAATAGCAGATAAATATAATGAGAAAGTGTTGCCGCAATGGCGAGTAATAATAAAAGAATATAAGTAAAAATAGATTAAAGCAAAAAACCGATACCTTATTGATGACAAAGTGAACGATGATCAACAATGAATTGGCGACCAACGTAAAATAAAACAAATAACATGATTATATAATTGACAATAATTATAATTTGCATAATCAACATTTCCAATACAATAAATTGATGGACGGTGAAATGAGGAGACGGATTAAAAACGCACGCTTTGCCGTGCGTGGTACACATCTCAGTAATTATAATATTCATTATTCACCAAGAATAATAATAATTTCATAATTTAATGACTAAATGTGTCATTAATAGGTACTAATAAAAATTGAACTTCATCAGTTTCTATTGACCTAAATAACACGTATATTTTGTACTATACACGATAACGGAATTAAAAAAATGAGAAAATGCCGTCGGTTTCTGATGTCAGACGTACACCTATTGCCTAACAATCTGCGGCCTCACTATCAAATTTGTAACTGTTAAAACAATTGGATTTTAATTAATATCAATTTTTTTTCTTAATTAGTATTTAAAACAGATTTTTTTTTCACTAAACATAAAAAATGTAATTAGTTTTGTAATTAAACTAGTTGTACCCGTACAGCGTCGGCCGGAAAAATAATTCCAAGGCGAAAACCCTTTAAATTTTCATTTTTGTTATTAAACATAATAATGTGTATGAAATGAAAAATAATTATATTGTCCGTGTCTATAGCAAAATTGAAATTTATTGCTAATTTTTATCTTTTAATAGATTCAATTTCTACAAAGTGTAAAAATTAGCGTTCGTGTATGAAGATTTTGTAGGTTATTATGGATGAAGCAAAAGATTTAAATTATGCTAATATTCTAAAGATTTAAAGATTTCTTTGTAAGCGACGTTGTCGGATTGGAGGCGAAAATCAATGGTCACATGTGATAGAACAACGTTCAGTTGACCGTGAGAAAAACATTAAACGGTTAGGTCAATTCCAGTAATATTTAGTGTTTGTCACTGTACTTTATTTATAATTATTCCAAATGTTAATTTAATGGGAAATTGAATAAGTTTAATCTGAAAAGGTAATTCTGAGGGTATAATTGGTATTCTTGATATGAAAGCAGTTTCTGCAGTACTATAGCACTTTAAAATTATGCACTTGATCAATAATTATATTATTTTGCTCAATGTATGTATAAAATGCGATTGCCATGAATGGTCGTTGCGACCATGCGATGTGTTACGATATAAAATACGTAATAATGGGGGACGTATTACATAATCAGCTAATACACATATTAACATATTATGTGTTTAAGCTAATTATGATGTAATGATAGTTACATTTTATTTCATAATTCTTATTTAATACTTATTTTATAAATACTCCAAAAGGGTTTTATTTTTTAACTCAAATATAATAGAAAAGCATTGCTGTAAAAATATATATACATTTTTAATAGATTTAAACTTTTTAAATATTTAATTTCAACGAGTAATATTTTTGTTAGAATTTACAAGCTTTATTTTATTTTTATTTTTATACAGAAACAATGTTTAATCCATATTATTATGAAGTTTTGTACGTTTGGATAGTACGCCCTTGACTGAGAACAATCATTTCAGCAATCTGAAAAAACGATACAATGTGAATTTGATAAAATCGATTTCGTGATTTCAAACAGTACAAATGTAATATATATGAACTGATAACTAGTGATAGTACCTTAACTTAAGTTTGGCGAAATGTAGGGTTGGCCAAGAATGCAGCAATGTAATGGGAGTTTCATTTAAATTATTTATTTTTTTTTTTTGTATAAAATAAGCACCAAAATAAAATTCGCCAAGGACGCCATGGAGAGGAGTGCGGCACTGATTAGTGACATAACCATGCCAGCTGGGACAATGGGGTCTTGATTAATTTGTAGATACTATATAGACGTAAAATGTGACAATTAATGTATATATTTTATTGTTTGATTAAAAAAATGAAAATTTTTAATGACGAAAATGTATTCGTTGGTTCGACGTTTTTAAAGTAGCTTCTAGAAAACCACGATTGAACGATTTTTAATTTAAGTTTAAGTAATCTTAAGAATATTTGTATTAATATCATACTTAATTATTAATTTTTTTTTGTTAAAAGTTTAATTTTAATTTTAATTTATTGCAATTGTTATTTTTTAAAATTTGCTTGGAAAAGAATCGATTGTACATTTTTAAATTGACATATACTGAATTCGAACTTATTAAAATTTATTTTAAATACAATATATAATAAAATCAAATATCATTGATAATATTAGAGTTTATATGAAATAATTTCTTTCCATAATGATCCTATTTTGGTGGTAATTTTGCACGCCCTTCCTAATTTCCGATCAAAAAACTTTACCACGTTATTTTAGCCTTTTAATAAAATTTTAATATTTTAATTACCAATATATTGGATCCAGTTGACATAACGAAAACAATCATATCGGCCATTTCCTCTGAGCTCAGCGTCACAGAAGAGTTCAATTTGACGTGTGGTATTTTGGCCGCTTCGAATATTTCCGTGTCCACAAAACCGGGACTGATGCTCTACGTACCAAAACATATTATTAATTATTAATAGCTACGTTTTACATATAAAGTATTTTGTTTTTTGTTTATATCACACGAGAATCGGGAAATGGATTTATGAGAGATTAAATGATTAATCGATTCACGTTTATCGAATGATTATATTTTGGTGTATACGAGGTAGAACTATTTTAACTGTTAAACAGCGATTTTAAACTGCAACCGAGGTACAGATAAACACAAAATCACACATGTAAACTATGGCAGAGTTTTTATTAAGTGTATGATAAAAAGATAACATTTAACCCCGCCTCCCAGTACCGGATCTAGAAAATTGGAAAGCCCGGGGCTAGTAAAAATGCAATGCCCTTAAGTATGTAGTATTTTCATGACTTCATTTTATTTTTTATAAACTTCAGAGCACTTTTACACCAAAAGCGCTTGGAGCAAGCATACCTACTCGCCCACAGATCAGACCCCACCTCCTGTACAAATTAAAATTTTATTATAATTTATATTTTGTTCAGTTATTCAGTCACCAGTGCCGTAACTGAACTACTCAAGGCCCGGTGCAAATCAAAATCTCGAGGTCCCTTATTGTTCATTTTTGAAAATTTGACCTTTTGAAGATCCATAATAAGGTACAAGCCCCGGGGTTAGTTATTACCTGCGTGCAATGCACATTTTGTACATTTTGTTTTTACGGCACTAGTCGACACCTACCATTTTTAAAAATACTTAGCATATTTTAACTGTCCAACGCCATTTAATCTCACCTGAACTTGGAGGCCGATTAATTTTACGAAACTAAAAAAAAAGTTATTATGTTATTTTTACGACAAAGAATTGATAATATTTCTTTGGTCATGTTTTACAATATTATTTAGACATGATGTAATTTTCGATAATTTTTTATTTTATAATCAAACTAATAAATTTTAATTTTAGTTGGTTATTCTTCTCAGATTGAACAAAAATGCTATAATAACCTACAATTATGATGTATACACATCAGATTCGAAGTTTTCTATTGTACAACAATTTATCGTAGCTTTTTAATTTAACTACATGGATAGAGAATCTCTAATATATTATCTTTCGTCGGCACAAATTTTCTAATTTTCAACATTTAATATTTCATCGTGGTATATGTTGGTAAAACTCACAGAAGCTTTGATGTGGTCATCTCCGGCTGCGGCTAATTCGTGGCGAAGCCCTTCGGTCAACACTCTAAGAGCTTGTTTGGACGCGTTGTACATCTTGTTTCCAGGGTTCACCGAATACGAATGGCCCGTTAAGCTAAAACAAAAATATATGTATAATAATAGCAACAGTTATAACTTTTAATAGCATTCAGTATTATTATTGTGTGACTCCAAATGGAGACGGCTTATAAACATCTTTTACCGGGGCAGTGACTCGGTAAAAATATTTTTTAGGTACATTTTGGTTAGATAAATTAAAATAAATTAGGTATACCAGTCAATGTATGAACATATTAAGCAATAATTAACACCTGTTCCGGTAAGATACACATGTTAAAACAAATTCTGACTACAAGCTATATTTTATAAACGACACGTTATATTATTATTATTATTAGAACGCTTAATTATGTGACGCGATGAATATTTATTTAAACTATAAATTTTAAAGTTAGCACCTGTTGATTTGAATAATATGACCTCGAGTGATTTTGTACTTTTTCATCAATCTATAAGCTTCCCTTGAACAGATTGTAGGTGCCAATACATTGCAGTCAATTATTTCTTTCCAATCATTCGAACAACCACCTTCCGAAAAGTAATAAACACATTATTATTGTAATTTTAGAATGTATGATACCTTTTTCTATAAATGTGTAATTGATATAAGATTTGAGTAGGTATAGTAGGTAATGTAGTAAATTGCAGATCGATAGATTGCTATTTTTCGTCATAATTTTATTTGATTTATTGTATTATTATTATTTTTTATTATAATATTTGTTCCATCACAGATAATGTTCTTTTCTTTTAAATAAAATAAAATTTGATCCTTCATTATGAATGTATACTGAATGGTTTTGTTCCATGTAATAAGTAAGTATATCATGTTCTCTTAATCCCTGTTTTAATATTATAAATGGTGAATGATATATATTGTTACAAATTGTATGTAATTTTTGTGTAGGTTATAACTACAACATTAGATTAAAGTGTTCCTTGTTCAAAACTAAAATAAATTTACTGTATGCTTTGGTATTTCTTTGTAGTTTTATTAATTAATATAGAATTTAAATCGATGTATTAGATTTATAATATTTCTAAGGTAATAAAATATATTACCTAAACAAGTATTCACTATATTTCCATAGGTGTTTCTAGGCTATGAAGTAACTTTAACATCATAGCCTGTAAAATTGTAGAATTTGAGGAATGATGTGTACACATTTTTTATTTAAGTTGACGTGTTAACTATTTAACATTATTTTTTTTTTTAATATTTTATAAAAATAGAAAATAAATGTTATGATATTGTATTAAATATATATTTTTCAAATCTTCTTAAAAGTTTTTGATATTGTTTCTAATCAATGTTTTTTCATTGCTTATTCTTACTTAAAATGGGTGAAAACCTTACGATTCCAGCATTGTTGATAAGAAAATGTATACCACCGATGTTTTCATCAATCCATTTAAAAGCTTTAAATATGTCATTTTCATTTGTTAAATCACATTCCAATGGATGAAACTGTCCAGAAAAATTATTATCTTCCATTTTTTTTTGCAATACCTGAACCATATACATAAAATATGAATACCATAATTAATTATAATTATTTATTGCATTTTTAAAATTAGTATAAAACATATTAGCTTACAATCAATATATGTATTGGCTAAAACTATGAGCATTAAGTATTACCAGTAGTCCAACCATTTGTCTGAACTTAGATATAGTAATATAGTTATTTTTTTATAAGCCGAATTATTTTAAAGTAGTTTTGTCATAGTGTTTTAAATTTTAAAATCTAGTAAATACCCCCATACTATTTATTATAATTTTATTTTTATTTTGCTAAAACCTCGTTTCTTGTGGACCTTATAATACCTTATAATTTATACCTTCACTACCTTATCATTATTGACTTCCTATTAGCCCTACCTAAAAACCTGGGGTGGCTACTGCACGACTGTCCAGTCTGGCGCATACATGAATACATTTAGCTGTAAATATTAAATATGTCTGACGGACTGAAGTGCTTATACGAGTACAAGTGTTATACGTTTTCCAACAAATAGTTATTTAAACTTACCTGAAGTCTATGAATCCTTCTAGCTATCCCCACAACGATGAGCCCAGCTTTGACTAGCTTAATCGCCAATGCTTCTCCGATACCAGCACTGGATCCAGTTACCACAGCAACATTTCCTCTTAGATGATCCATTTAACGAATTATAAGAATGAAAAAATACTAACACCGTATACTTAACTAATCTCGCGTTCAACTATAGTGCTTAGGTAAGTGCGTGTGTTCCGTGTTAACTGTGTCAGTTTAAATATACCTGAACGTATATTTAATGGTTTATATAATATTAAAAATAAAATAAAAAATATACAAATACATTAATGATATAAATTTAAAATAAAAAAATAAATATTATTTCATTATATGATATGTAACTTCCTGTTTAATTAAATGATCATATGCTCATTTAATCACTATCATTTTAATGAGGAAGTATAAGAAGTTACCTTTTTTCAATAATTCAAATAATACAATAATTCAAAATAAATATAAGTGTTTACAATACTAATACGCACGACATTATTTTTTATTAATATTTAGGTTTACCTTGGAATGAATTATTTTAACACTATCTAGTTTCAGACTGAATGTACGCCTATGCACCTGATTTCTGTAGCTGCGATCCGAATAATTTCTTGCTCCATTTACATAAATGATTACATAATCGGAAGAGGGAATCAAAGCAAGCACAAGTATCAGGACTATTGAATCGACACAACCTTATCGACATGATAACACTACGACCTAAGATTAACAGGAGTTCTTCAGGAGCGTTTGACAAATTAAGTCTATAACTCTATAACAGCCGCGATTGGCGCGGGTGAACGATATTCTACTAGTTTATTTAACCACATTCATATTGAGGTAAAATTTAATGTGTCACGATTGATTTTAACTTTTATGGCAATTCGATTAGATATAAGTTACTAGAAATAATATATTAAATTATCAGTATTTATAATTAAGTATTCAGTAGAACTTGATTACAATTCAACTCAATGAATTGTAATCAAGTTCTACAGAATACTTAATTAAAAAGAATAACAAAGAAGAATACTTAATTGAAAGAACTTGAAAAAAATATATTCAAGAATTAGATTTAAGTTACATGATCTAAATGAAATCGTATATACAAACAAAAAAAGAAAAATATCGATATTGATTGATTTCCTATCGTGAATATTTTTCGAGACTTTCAGGTAAAATTATTTTTTAATATTTATTAACTATTTTATGAAAAACCTTGTTCCAAATTTTAAGTCATAAGCACTTAAATTGAAAGATTTATTGCTGTAAAAATTTTATGGATATTCGTAATTCTTATTGTTCTCTTTTCTTTTTTTTTTTGAAATATTACAGTTTTTTTTCATTAACCACTTGGATCATATGAACCACATGGATCTACTTGTGTATAATTATTATATAATCATGCTATAACTAATATTTGGTTGTTCTAATATTCATGTTTTAGAACACTAACAAGGAGTCATATTTATATTGAGTTTTACTGCATATTTAAAGAAGAAAGATAATTTTTGTTATCTATATAGTTAACATGGACTTAAAATTTTATTTTTCATTTAGGAGTTGTAATTAAATTTAATTCTAAGCAAAACTGTAGTTTTTTATCAATAAATGGACCCACAATATGTTTGGATAGATGATTTGGTTCCTTAATTATAATGAAATAATATTCTGAATATATTACATAATTTTTTTTTTATATTTGATTTTTACCTAATGTTTGAATTTATATACTTCTAAATAACATGAGATATTATGGGCAATAATATTTAGATTATTTTTAGGGATGAAGGAAACAATTTAAAAGTTATATTATATTCCAGGGGTGGCCAACATGACTTTGTACACGAACCACATGTATTAATAAGATTATATTAAGAGTCAAATTATCTAATCAGTACTTTTATACTACAAAAGTAATTAAGAAAGCTAACAGTTGATAAACATATATATATATATATATATATAAATAATTAAGTCAAAATATCGTTAAAATTTGACTAATGATTATCTCACAGAATTACTAAGAGCTACTCTTACATCAATTCAGATCTTAAGAAGCTTACTACAAAAGTAGAAATGAAAAAAAATACCACGCAAACAAATTTAACTTTATGTTTAATTTTTTAATTCATTATTCTTATAAATTATGATTATTAATATAATAAATATTATAACAATAATAAATTATTAATCATTATTATTTTTTATGTTTATTAATCTGTACACTATAGCCTTATATCTATGCAATAAAATTTTTTTTTTATAAATGTATATAAAAAAATTTAAAATTTTGGTTTTTGTAAATAAGACCGCGAGCCGCATACAACTATGACGAGGGCCGCATGAGGCTCGCGAACCGCAATTTGGCCACCCCTGTTATATTATATATGATAAAATAACTATAATATAAATAAATACTACAAACAACGTCATTCTAACAAATTTTATTTATTTCTTTTAATTATTTTTTACTGTTCTTGATAAGTTGATGAAAATGGAGTTATCTGGTTGTTGCATTTTGATATCAATAATGATCCTCCATAGTTACCAACAAAACAACATTTTTTATCAAAAAAAGCTAAGTCCCCCCCAACCTTCCCCTGATTTTTCAACCTATGGGTGACAACCTGAAATTGAGTCGCAAAATACTTTTTATGGGTCGCGAGGCATCCAGTTTCATCAGGCAGTTCAGTATTATGATTATTAATAATACTATATTATCACAAGCTTTTTTTTTGGGGGGGGGGGTATTAGCAGGGGTATGTCACGTAATCAGCAAGCAATACATTTGTAAGTCGCCATAACAAAAAGGTCAGGAAATATTACTATAGATTATAGGCTATGACAGCGGTTCCCAAACTGTGAGGCGCGCCTCCCTTGAGAGGCGAAAGCAACTATTAGGGGAGGATCAAGGTAAATATTTATATTGTACATTGTATTATCATATACTTATATATTTTTCGGACGAAAATAATTTGTTTATATTAAAATAATAAAAATGTTTTATTGGGAAGCGCATTTAATTATTTTTTATTTTAGAGATGCGTGACCTAAAAAAGTTCGGGAACTAATGGGCTATGGATTTTATAATAATAAATAACTTAATACTACTTAGTTAATAATATATATTGCAAATTGATACGACTTTTAAAATGTCAGGTCATTTGTAATATTTGACAATATAAAAAATATATATATATATATTTTTTATATATTGCTAGTTGCCAACCGTTATTACAGGTGCATCGTTGTAGCACTTGTAAATTATCATAACTTTTCTTTATCTATCTCATTTTTTTGTACTCAAGTTGGATCCATTTATACCCTCTTTTAATACATTTTACCCAAAACCGAATTCCACGTTCTGAAACGACGCTGTAATAGCACCCAGCTTCTGGATTAATACTTATTGTTTTTAAGAATCTTTAATTTTCGATTTGCATAAATGTAATGAATTTAGATTAGATAGAAACCCTGACAATGGTACCCATTCTAAAGGTGGCGGTATCCTGATTGCCCATTATTACCCTGCCTATTTCAGCTCCAATTATTTCTAGTTTTTCGGATGTTGAACAAGTATTTGCCATCGTATCCAATAATTACTCCTCACTTTTAATTGGTTTTACTGATCTACCCCTTTCTAGATCACTTTCTGCCATCGAATCTCACATTTTCTCTATTGAGAATTTCATAAAAATCCATAAATTAATCTTTGTCACTAATTGCGGTGATTGTAACTATCCTGGTACGTATATTATGATCATCCAATAAGTTTAGTCTCTCAGCCTATGAAATTTTATCTCCGGAATCTTCTCTAATAATAGATTCTTTCTCTTTTCTAAACTTATTTCAACTAAACCATATCTTCAGCAACAAAGAAAACATCCTTGACTTAGTCTTTTCTGTTTTTAGTAATCAATTAGCCATTAAAGCTACTTTACCTTTAATTAAACCTGACCCGTCCCATTCCCCGTTGTTTATTAAATTACATTATAAAATTAAGCCCAAAATTAATTTTATACGTTCATATTATAATTTCAAAGTTGAGGACTATGGTTCTATCTCGAATTTCTTCAATTCGTACAACTGGATTGTTACCTTTAGTAACTGTTAAATTAACGACACAGTCACAGTATTTAATGAAGCGAATCTAAATTCAATTAAAAAATTCGTCCCTATCAAGATATTTAAAATTCCGAAATTCCCTCGTTAGATATCTTCTTTCCTGAAATCATTAATTAATAAGAACAATATGCACAAAAAAATATTTGAAAAATCAAATAGGACCTCTAATTAATTAATCTTCTCCGAACTTCGATTAAAATGTAAATGCTAATCTCTTTCAAACTATCATTCATTTATAAATGATACAAGAAGACAACTCTTTTCAAACCCATCTTACTTCTGGAAATGCATTTAAGACCTTAAGCAATACTCTGTTATAACCTCCGCTGTTCACCTTTTAGGTGAAATAGCAGATAGTACAATAAGCTCAGCAAATCGGTTTTCCTCATTTTTTCCTTATTCTTTAAACTTTCACTGTCTTCTTATCCCTATGTTAATTCTAACAAGAAGTACTCATTTGACATCCCTTTAAAATGTTCTTTCTCATGTGATGATATAGTCTTATCCCTTCAATCTCTATAAACAAATATTCCAACGATCCTGACAACATTTCTATACAATTACTCTACAACTGCCAAAATTCCCTGGCATACCCTATTTATATCTTCTTTCGGCACTTATTGAATGAACACATTTTTCTCATTGTCTGGAAAATAGGTTCGATCACCCTTATCTTAAAAACAAGTGATCTCTCTGATGTGTTTAATTATAGGCCCATATCCATTCTTCCTCACTTAGCAAAACTTTTCGAATCCATTGTTTACTTCTCAGTTAAAAGAAGTATCAATTACATAATCCATAACAACCAACAGGATTTTAGAACTGAGAAATCTACGGTCACAAATAGCCTAAACCACCTACAATTTGGACAATATAGAAACCGGATTATAGGTCGATACCATTTTCACAGACTTCAAGAAAACCTTTTATACAGTTGATTATGGTCTTTTAATCGACACCCTTGATAGTCTCGACATTAAGAAACTACTTCTCTCCTTGCTAATATCGTACCTATCATCTAAAAAAATTTCGTCTCCATCAATGGAAGGGGGGGGGGTCAAGGTAAAAATATAACACATTTTACAATTAACAACATTATGCAAATCCTTAATTTATTTTGACTTAAATAATAGCCTTGATAATAGAATAGACTATTCTATAATCAATGATACTAGGTATTCAATACTAGCTCTTCATATTTCAAACTTGTAAAATTTGTAAATTTTAACCTAGATATTGGAGAAAATTTCGGGGGGGGGGGGGGACCCCACCCCCCCCCCCCCCCCCATGCGTGCGCCACTGGATATAGTTTTTGATTTTCTATTATTTCTCGGATTGGTATTTTAATTTTAATTAGAATTTTTGATTTTGAAAACTGACACTCGGTGATAGGTAAATTATAGAATGGAGTTAAATTTTCTAAAGGTAGGTATAGTTAATTCGTATCCATCTTTTTCAATTACCCTTTTTAATTTTTTATATCATTATATAATATTTTTGTTTTTATTATCCTCGATGGAAATTTATTTAATTTACAGTGTAAATGAATATTTGTATCTCTCTCATGGTTTGTAAGTTTTTGGATTACCGATATTAAATTGTATATCATTTCTTGGATACCTTGAATACTCATGAATAGTATTTTTCTAGTTATTTTTTTCTTCATTTATAAATGTTGAAAAAATATCTTTTAAAAATTTCATATTGTTTTTAGTGTTTTTTGTATAAATATTTAGTTCTGTTATTAAATTTATTAGGTCTTTATGATCTGACACAAAAGCATTTTTAATTTTTTTGATTTTTTTTGTTCTAACATTTTTTCATTAGTGTAAAAGATTTTTAATTATTTTTTTATTGCGACATTAAAGCAGAAGTGGTATAAGTTCCCAAAAAATTGAATCTCTCTTTTAGATCTACTCGTACTATTAAACATATTTTTATTTATTAAATCTAACATATTTGTATTGCTTTCTTTTATGTTTATATTAATGGTGGTTAATATGCCTTGTGTTTAGTTCAGGCCCTATTTTTATGTGCACTCCGACACACAATGTGCACCACGAATGTAAAAGTGTGCACTACGATCTACAAAACAAAAATTAAATAATAAGCCAACTACTAGGAAATATGAGTATTATTGAATTTTTTAAAATTTAATGCATATATATATATTCTTTTTTCTAAGACAGTAGCGAAACTAAATTTTCATTTAAAGCAGTAAAATCAAGCGTGCAGTCCGAAATTATACAAATAATAGGGCCTGGTTTAGTTAACAATTATACAGTTATTTGTGTTTTTATTTTCACAATAGTTTTTAATCCCCCCCCCCCCAATTGTCATTTGGGTTATCGTCTAACATTTCCTGTGTGTAGATTAAAGGAATGCTTTTATCGTATAAGAACTTCTGGTACCTCGTCGAAAAAGTTTGTCGTATACGTCGATTGAAACGAACGTATATACGTACACTCAAAAAGAAATAAAAATAATACTTAGAAGAACGCCAGCTCACTACCATGACCGTATCACACAGTCACCATAAGAGTCTACTTTATTACATATATCTCTCCTCTTATATCATAAAACTTAACCTACTTAAAAAAAATGCTTGCATGTTAAATTTGTTTAATTTTCGTGATATTGTTTTTATGTTATTTTTTATATGAACTCTGTTCTAGTAATTATTATACCTCTCGGTTTGTATAATAATGATGAACTAATATTTCTTCTAAAAGGGTCAATACAGTATTTTGAGGTGTCCAATTTAATAGTTATAATTTGTTATAATTATTATTATAAGTAAGAGATTTGAATTTTATCTAATATAAATACAAGTTATACATGGTGTTTACTCAAATTTATAATATTTTTAATATTTTTATACTATTTTTTTGTTACATTTTAAATAAACTTATAATAAATAGTCCTTAAAAATTGTATACGATAGTTGTTCGGTAAAGTTATCTCGGTATCTAAACTAGGGTATCTATTAATAATATTGATGCAATTTATGTTGAAATGCTTATCGGTCAGGTTAGTGTATCGTTTATTGGAAAAAGAAAATTTACACTTTCGGTGGAAACGATGTTACGTACTATACGGCACAGTAAACTGGTCTAAAAACCCTCGAACAAATTTTTCTATAAAACCCATTTTATTTTTCAAATCAATAAATAAATAATTATTATTATAGAATAATAAGTAATAATAATAATAAGCCGTAAACAATATTTACAATAACAATAATAATAATAACAATAATAACATAAGCACTAAAATTATTAAAGTCGTGTACGGAAAGATATCTGGAAGAATGGAAACCTCTGCGTAAAACAACTCCAACTGAATAAAAGCTCTTTCGTTATGATGGATATGTTTGTATTGTACGACCTCGGCTGAGAACTATCATTTCAGCAATCTGAAATAAGAAAAACTTTTATATTTACCGAAAAAGTTGATTTTTGCCGTAATAGTTAATAACACCACACATGCGCAACCAGTGGCGTGGTGAATGATGTTTGCCTAATGCAATTATTATCACTTGAATTCTATCAAGGGAGTGGGTGTCCCTTGCTCATACATTTATAAACAAATTATATTTAAATAATTTAATTAATTAATTAATTGCATCATAGGCACACATTCAGTTTAAAAATTGGGAGTGCTAAAATCATTCACCTAAAGGTGATCCGTGGGGGTAAACCACTCAAATCTAGTGTCGGATCTAGGAAATTTGACGCTCAGGGCTAATAAAAATGCAGCGTCTTTATGAAAGAAGAAGAAGTATATGGTATGTTCATAACTTTTTTTATTATTCGTTAACTTAAGAGCGCCCTTATACCAACAGCACCTGAGGAAATCATACCCACTAGTCCCCTCTCCTCAATTAGATCTAGCACTGCTCACACCCTTCTACATATAATAGATACAACATTCTTTAGTTTTACTGTTTAATTATAAATTTATAAATTTTATTTATTATAACTAGATAATCTTAATAAACTTAATTATTTTTATCAATATGCGATCAAATCGGTAGACGATAAACAAAAACAAATTATAAATAGTAAGATATTAAGTATTTCAGAAATGAATACTAAAAATAATCACTTGATCTCATGCTTTATAAATTGGTAACAGGATAAGCCCAAATACCTAATACTCCTATTGCATATATACATGTACGACGTATTTACGCTTTACGTCAGTGGCGTTAGTGCATTACCAATACAAACTGGAATAAACTCATTCTCAAAAACGCAAATCCTTTTTCAAAAATATTTTTACCTCAAAATAAACTGAAGGTGCTAATTTCGAATTTAGGGGTGCTAAGCATCACCTGTTATCCTCGTATATGTGCCAATGACTAGATGGTAAAATAATGATTGTTATCGCCAATGAAATGTATTTTCTTATACGAGTAGATAACGAGGTGTTGCAAATTATACCTGTACTCTTGGAATATAAATCAAACCGACTTGACGAAGAATTAATTAAACATCGGTGAAAAGTGTTAATGTCGAGCATTTTGGTTATACGAGTATTGTTTAAATACTTTGCCAAGGGTTTAAAATATGCTCGTCACGCCACTGATACCAATATAATTATCATAAATATATATAACACATAATATACGACAATATTTATGTAATAATTACCAAGATATTTGGTTGGGTTGCCATGACAAAAATAATCATGTCGGCCATTTCTTCTGCGCTCAGCGTAACAGACGGATTCAATTTTGATTTATGTATTTTGGCCGCGTCAAATATTTCTGTATCCACGAAACCAGGGCTGATGCTCTGCATGTATTAAAACAGTTTATTATAATACTGTAGTTTAAATATTTACATAATATTCGTAACCATTACTGTCAATTTTATTGATAAAATTTCTGATTTTAACGATTATATTCATAATATTTGTATTTCTGCTGGTACGTCTCATTTATGGGAACATTTTTGTTTTAGTTTTTATATAATTTCATTATATTGTAAAGTAAGTTACGAATATTCGTTGACACATGATTTCAAAGTCCATACGTACATCATCATACTTATTGCAATAATTAATACAGTACCCTTAGACCCCCCTCCCCCCATACGAATACTAGTTCGATTTCATAATACCATCGGTAGCAAATTAATCTCCACAAAATTGATTCACGTATTTAGAAAATATATTTTCATTTATTTAGTAAAAATAATGATACGAACGGCAAAACACAGCAAACACTGCGAATGGCATAAAATTAAATATCGGACGACACCATACACTATAACAGGGATGGGCAACTCAAAGTTATTAAAGGGCTAATTTTTAGAAAATTAAAATCCAGCGGATCAAAGTATAGGAAAAAAAAAGGTAATTTTAAAATATGAATTTTAATTAGCATTTATATACATCGAAATAATAAATTCAACACGCACAATAGCACGACGCGAATGATACGAAGAAACTGATATAGTTAAATAGTTCGGTACAAACGGCAATGTTTGAAAGTTATACGTATATATACATATGACATTTAGATATTTAACAATGTTTAATACCAGATAGCAATTGTTATATTGATAAGATAGAGTATAGACGATACATTTTAAAATTGTATGATGTAATTTGTAAATATAGCACAGGTCAAATAAAAAAGGCTTGAGGGCCACCAGTTGCTATTCCTACACTATAATATAGTCACTATATTAACAAAATTACCAACGGACACATAATAATTTTGTTATAGAATTTATTAAAGGTACTCATAATTACTACATAAAAATAAATAAAGATTAATGGAAATAAAACCTATTCCGTTGATTATCTCGGTATCGTTTTTTTTGTACATCCATTATACACATGCTTAATTATATGTAATATATGTATATATGTTTGACCATTAATTATTAATCAATCTATACCTTTGAGTATATAGTACATTAATGTATATAAACTGTACAAGTTTACTGTACAATATCTACAATATAATATAAAATAATTAATATCGATGATATAGAAATTGATAACATTTCTCTAAAAAATATTTGAACATGTAGGTATATAAATATAATTATTATGAAAATTATTATGGAATACGCACAAAACAACAAAATATGCAACCTTTATTATATATAACCTTTATTCGTCCGTTCGACCAAAACATTAGTCTTGAAACCGTGAATCACGTTACAACGTTTGGATGATATACTCACAGAAACTTTTATATGACCATCTCCGGCTGCAGCAATTTCGTGACGAAGACCTTCAGTTAACACTCTCAGGGCTTGTTTCGACGCGTTATACATCTTATTTCCCGGATTCACTGAGTACGAATGGCCCGTTATACTGAAATTAAATAATATTAAACAAACACAAATTTCCACATTCGTGCATAATACTCGCTTACTACATACGGATAAATTTAATTTGCACAATACAATCGATTTTAAAAAATTCACCTGTTAATTTGAATAATATGTCCATGAATGACGTCATGCTTTTTCATTAACTTATAAGCTTCTTTCGAACAAATTGCTGGAGCCATAACGTTGCAGTTGATTACTTCTTGCCAATTGTCCGTAGAACCACCTAACGAAAATAGCAAAAGTGTTGGATTCATAAAAGTTATATTATCTTACGTTGTTTTTCTAATTTATTTGAAACTAATATATTGAGGGCTAACAGCGTCATAGCTAAAAGTTTACAAATACTAAATTTAACTCTTGAAGTTTGAAGTTGGGTATAACACGAAACTATATTTATAACAAATGTACTACAAAATTCAAAATCAAATCCTCCGCAATTATAAGTACTAAAAAGTTTACGTAATATAATACCCAATTTTATTTATTTATTGTTGGCTTAAAATGTGATATCAATAAATTCGAGTATCTAAAATTTTAAAAATTAATAAAATTCGTTTTTATTTACTTATAATCTAAAAATTAAGTAATAACAGACAACATTTTCATTAAAACATTTTCAAATATTGTCTTTTTTTAAATTCCTATCGTCATTAATAATAACAATCTCCGTAAATAATAATTATAACACATTGATATTTTTGACTTAAATTGTGGTTTTTGTTTTTAAAATATCACAATTCTTACCCATTATGGAAGATATTCTAACAATTCCAGCATTATTAATTAGAAAATGTATACCACCGAGGTTGTCATCGATCCATTTAAAAGCTTTCAATATGTCATTTTCATTCGTCAAATCACATTCCAATGGATAAAATTTACCAACCATATTATTTTCCTCCATTGCTGTTTTTAACTCCTTAAAAATATAAAACGGTATAAGACAGTTTTAATCAAGAACTGAAACCTTTACGATTTTATCGCTTCCAGTCAAAAAAAAAAAACAAATTTTTTTTGGTATCGGTTTTAGTTCTTATGAATAATAAAAATAAGTTTCAATTTTGGTTTCAGTTTAACCGGTTTTAATGCAATACTACTTTTTTTCTGTAGGACAAAGGACTTTTTACTACTTAAAATTAGCACAGATTACATTAACTTTTAACATTACCATCTTTAAAGTCTAATTTCTAAATATTATTGATCTATACGTGGATAATTCAAATATGACTATCTATCACGATAGGTATAAATCCATAACCATAAAATCTACATAATAAGGAGTGCAGTTTATTTATAAATCTTCTAAGCATACATTAATTAGAGAGAGCAAGGATAGATCGTAAAAATGTATATACATTATATCAAGAGCGTATCCAGGATTTTTTTTATGGGGAGGGGGGGGCAAAAGTTTTATTTTATCTGATAATGGAAAATTAAAATACACTATATACTATTATTATATTATTTACTATGTAGAAATTTCAATGGGAGGGGTCCGGATCCGAACCCCCTCCCCTTGAGTACGCCCTTGCAATATATCAACTTAAGAAAAAATATAATATTTAGAAATTTATTAGAATACTAACTATCGGTAAGGTTGTTGCTGTTGTTGAAATATCATCAAACATTAGAGTATTAAATTATGTACAATGTAAATGATTAACATTGCGTATTACATAATGCGAACATTACTCACAGCGTACAATGAAAGAGTTGGAAATTTGAAAATCATCAAAAAATGTGTTTTTCAGTATTCCCTATCTTTCCTGAAAACTATATTTCAATCTGAAGTCACTATACAGAAATATTTCATATTACCATTTGATGTACATCACAAAGTACATGTTGTTTCCGCATTCTATTACGTTCTAAAATTTTTAAAATATGTTGATGTAAATGTATTGCACTTAAACAATTACGAGTTAGTTATATAACAATAAAACATAATCAATAGGAGATAAAATGAGATTAAATTAAAAATAAAGTATAACACAATATGTAAAAAATTACAATGTTAAAATATTAGTTTGGAAACAATATTTATGTATAATAAAACTATATATAATAAATTTTGAGAGCTAATGGGACAAAATAATTATATCTATTGAAAAGTGAATTTACAAATGAGAACAATTAGTTAGAATTTAGATCGATAATGCAATTGAACAATATGGTATTAATATGAATGAATTGTATGGGAAAATATATAATACAGTCTCTGGTCACGTCATCGTATGATAATTTCTCACTTTGGTCCAAATATGTGCCACTATAATCTTAATTGGAAAGAAATCTAGAGTCCGTTAAAATTTCATCTATTTTTTAAAAGTGATCGAGCCTTTCTTGCTGATATTACAATTAATTTTTTTGTACTACGAAAAAATTCTGTAATTGATGGAATGATCATTGGTACATAAAGCATACTGAACTATTAGTCACGTTACTTGATACGATCCACAGTAATATGTCATCATCACATTTTACACACCACAGTAAATGTCTGCGGTATGTACGTTTGTATCCGTATGATTTAAAGATCTTGCAATGCAGGGGTTCATGGATTTTTCAACGGTGATTATATAATTTATCAGTGAAATCAGCTGATAAATGTTATCAGTAAGAGAAGCTTCAATCTTAAATATCTGGAGGAATAATGAAGTAAATGCAACGATTCACTACTTGAATTGGACAAGCATGACGAGATAAAATTAATGATGAAATAAATAATCTTGATAGGTAGGTATGTAAAGTGAATTGACTATTTTCAAATAACTTTTGCAGTTTTGTTAACATTCAGACATTCTGACTATCGGTGTTGGAATTGCGGCCCAATCCTTAAATTAAGTTAACGAGTTAATGAGTTAAATTAAGTACGAATTGCGTCCCGTGTTTATAAAACAGACGTATGAGTTGTGGCCACATTTTATTTATCACTTCATATCAGCCTATCAGCGTTACCTAGAAGACACCACTAGGAGGTTGGCTGAGTCGTCTCCCAAAAAATTGTGTTTTTTTTATTATTTATTATTATTTATGTAAAAATGGCAGCATTTATAGTAATTTCCCACATAAAATTTTACAATGTTAAAACTACTATAAACGTTGAAGTTGAGTTGAAATTGGAATATTCGATAAATAAGATTCAGTAATACTTGATTTAGTGTTTATTATTAAACATTTACATTAAAGTAAATGTTTAATACTGTATAAACACTTGAATTAGGTTAGATTATAAATATTAAAAAGTTAATTTGTATTAAACGCTGAATAAACATACAATGACTAACCTTTAAATAGAGTATCATAAATAATGCTTATTAAACCTAAATCTAAAAGTATTTGAATTTTATGGTATATATATACGTATTAGGTAGGTAACGCTATTTTATACCATATGGTCGTGAGCGTCGCATTTTAGTATAAAGTATAAATAAATAATATATTATGTTCCATTTGTGCATGTTATACATCGATGTATTTATAATCGATCAGATCCCTAACCTATATATATATTATAATATATATAATATTAAAATTAACTTTATTACTCCAACACAATGGTCCGATAGTCGTCACTCATTAATAAACGGACTGGAAGGTCTACCGCGACGATAAGATACATAAGACCGTCAGCCGATGACGCGATGACTAAAAATAACAGTTTTATAAAATATAGGTATTCATTTTATTTTTACTATTCAAAAAGTCACAAATATAAGTTATAACGACTAAAAGTCAATTAACAACGAATGCAAATAAAAATGTTAATTATACAACAATTGAACGAACAAGAATTATAATATATAGTATAGGTATAATAGTTCTTAATATTTGTACAGTTATTAAAATAATTTGTGTTTTATATTGTATTTTTATACAATATGATTATATGAATACGACTTATTATTATATTTAATATAATAATATTTTATAACTTATAATTATTATCACATACGATTAAAAAAAATTAATTAAAATATATATATATATATATATATATATATATATACCTAAAATTATTTAATAATTTATAGGTACAATAAAAACACAAAATAACAAAGCTAAATATTTAATTAAATTATTAATTTTGTACTCCTAATATAAGTATATAAATACAAAAACTACATATGAAAAAACATAAATTAATTATAGATACTTGCTATTTCATATATTTTATAAAGTGTAATACAATATTTATATTACGTTAATATGTGGAATGCCAAGATTGTAGATGGATTACTAATTTATAAAATTATATTATTTATGGCGCTTATTTTAAATTCTGTAAGTGTGAAGAAGTGGAAAAGCTACGGTCTTATTATTATAATTCACTTTTAGTATCATACATTTACATTTAATATTATCTACAGACTAACTTTTTAAATTATTATTTAAATTATTAACAGTAAAAATATCCAATTTAGAACTGTCTATAGGTTTTTTTAAAAAATGGTTCTTTTGTTTTAAAACAATATCCTAAAATAAAACCGTTGTTGGATATTTGACTTATTATATTTATAACTTTTACAATATTACCGTCGGTCATAAGTACATAATTATCAGCTTCATGGTGAATTCGAGTTTCAGTGTCATGAAAAATAAATATTTTATATTGATGATTTAAGTAATTGTTTAACTCTGTTGATAACGGCCCTTCGCAATGTTTATTTTTAAAGGTGAAATTATTTAAATTAGGTTCAGTTGAAATTGAATTTAGACTATAACATGTGGATTCATTATAACGTTTAACCGCTTGTTGTAAGGGTTGGTTACTTTTTCATACATATTTTTTAAGTACTTTCATGTGATTTTCGAATGGAAACGCACTGCAGTTTTCTAATGAACCGAAGCGAGAATAGTCATCGCTAAGTGCTGCAGTGCGTGAACATTGTGGTTAGATAGATACCCATTCGCGACCATAAATAGAAATAAAATTACTAATAAAATAGTTTAATAGTTTTTTACTGAACTTTAATAAATTATTACTAATATTTGATCTAAGTAATATGGAAATACTAACATGTAAGCACATAAAATTTAAATAACATTTTTCATTTATTATATTTTTAAGTACTACGGGTCTTAAATATAATAAAAAATTTCGAAACTCAGTAGCTTTCCACCTCGGTAGTTCATCGAAACCACGAGGTTTCCGATGAAAGTCAATAGGTATAACATTTTTAAGATCAATTAAACTATTGCTCAAAAATGTACTTTTAACACTATTTAAACGGGTTTTTAAAGGACCTTTTAACCATAAATTAATAAGTTTTTTTGTTACTCCTAAACATATTAAGTGCATATAGTCTAAAGTTATGGTAATATAAATTTTTTTAGATTATTGGTTGGGTAAAAACTTAAAACGTAATGATTTAATGAAATCAAACTGCTCTATTTTTTTTTGTGATAGCTTTATCATCTGTTGTCTTATAAATGCTTCTTTTTCACATATTTTCTTAGTTTTTATTCCATCGCTTCTCTATTTGATAAAACATTTCTGATCTGATTGAATTTCTACTAACACTTCAATAAAATTAAAGATGTTAGGATGACTAGAGTAGAACGATGAATTTAGGTGTGAATGAAAACTTTCACAGCCGTTATTGGTACGGTTACAGCTAGCAAAAAACTGCGCCCAAATATTTGGGGGAAACATGGCGTCCGGGAATATATAGTTATCGAAAATATAGTCGGTAAATTGTACAACCCAATCATTTTTAGCGGGCAGTGTTGCTAAAAATTCATCCGTGAAACAATGAATGTTGTCAAAATACAAAAATGGCAAACCAAAAAAAAAAAATTTTAAATAATAGGTAACTTTCATCTGCATTTGTATTTTACATTTTCATGAGCCCTAAACTTTGAAATTTGTAGCCTTCGTAGAGAATAATTGGATTCGATTTTTCACTAGGTATTTACAAACTTTAAATAAAGAATTAGAAAATGCAATATAAAATAAGTTATTTCAAGTTAAGTCACATGCTATCGAAAACAATTTTCAGCTAATAAATCATCTAAGCACTTAAAAAACAATGCAAAATAAATCAACTTCCGAGCTCTAAAATGACAAACAAAAAAAAGACAATAAATATTATAAATTTTTTTTTTTAAATTATCGATATATCGATATTTTCTGAACCGATATATCAGCATAACATTTTTTGCTATCCCTAGGTACTGAGTGGTGAACAGAACACTGTAATATTTTTTGTTTGAACTATCGACGTTATGGTACTTTAGATAAGGTACGGCCAATACTGATTTACTGTAACATCTCATAATACCGAAAATAACGCTAACAACTACAATAGATACGTCTGTATGATATGACAGTCGACAAGGAACATAATGTTTAGGTACCTTCGCTCAATTAAAAATTATAAGCTACTCATTTTTTTCCACAGATTTTTACATAAACCACATTCGTAGAAAAATTTGAATTGTTTTTTTATAACATAATTAAATAACAGTAAATTATAATTTATAATTAGTGCATTATTACTATAATAATTAAATAATATATAAATTATCTTTCATTTAATCATCTAGTTATAAAAATAATAATAATGCATCTAATAGAGTTTAATAAAAAATTAAAATAATAATTTAATATGTAATTCAAATGTTTAATGTTATTGATTAATTTTTTTTTTTTTTCTCAGCGATATTTTCTATAATGCTAAATGCTATGGTTATTTATAAATTATATTTTTAATTCATAAAATAAAAAAGATATAGTTAATCAATATTAACAGAAAATAGTATATATATATATATATTATAGTAAAATTTGATCTTTTACAGTATATTTTTCAAAAAATAAGACAAATCTGACTGACCCTCTCACCAATTTAGGTAAATATATGTTCAAATATTAGATATTTAAATAACATTCAGGAATCTTATCTCTACTTTAAAATAAATCTTAAAATGCTATCACGTATCCAACGGTAATTGAATGCAGTAAGTGTCTAATTACGCCAACAGATAATAAATAATAAACCTTATAATAAATGTAAACTTGTAATAAAATGTTAAAGCTGTAGGGCAGAGGGTGTACTTTTATTACCAGACTTATAAAAAATAAGTACATTTCAACCATTGATAAAGTATATTTTGATTATATAAAATTATTCGTATTAATTTCATACCATGTATAATATTTATCACATAATTGACAATTAAATATATATATATCTGTTTTTTTATAAATTGACGTTTTTATAAATCTATCCTTATTTAATTTTCCCGTGAAAATTATGATTTATGAGTTGATTGGAAACTACATGTTAATAATAATTTATTAATAGATAGCAAATATTTTCTTAATTTATACATTATAGACTGATCGTTTCTTAAAAATAAAAATTAAAGTTAATGCTATCATTCCAACAATTAAGAACACTTAAAAATCATATAATTTATATAATTTGGTCGATATTTATGAAAAACTGATGGTCGACCTAAAATAAAATTTTGAAAATTTGTGGTAATTACTGGTTTTTATTTTTACTTCGAAAACTCCAAAATATCATATTTAGTAATTTAAATTCTTAATTGACTGAAATTTACAAAATTGTAATTCTCTAATACTTTATAATACTCACTTAAAATTTAAAGTCTAACAAAATCGACTAGTTTTGAGTACAAAATCAAACTACAGAAATCACAACGATGCTATATATATATGATATATATAGCTATATAGATCCTATTAGGTGCTATTGTATATCAAATGATATACAATACTTAAAACTAGATTAATAATAATTATTCAAAGAGAGTTTGTGTTTAGATCAATAAACAATTATAATTTTTTTCTAAATAAGTACAATTTTATATATTTGGATCTAGTCTGGCTTTATAGCATTGTTATTAATACTGACCTGAAGTCTAATAATCCTTCTTGCCAATCCCACGACGATAAGACCAGCTTTGACTAGCTTCATTGCCAGTGCCGCTCCAATGCCAGCACTGCATCCGGTTACTACAGCAACATGGCCTCTTAAGTGATCCATCGAGTACAACCTATTCAATAACAATCGACAATTTAAATCAAAAATAGTAAATCCGGAACTACAAGTTTAATTGGAATGAGTATGTTCTCTGTGTTATTATTTAAGTTCTTAAATGTTTTATATTTTTTTAAAGTGAACTATAAAAAAAAATTACCTGCAAAGAATTACGTTTTATCTTGTTAGGTAACAAATTAATCTAATAATTCTACTAACTGATTATTAATAATTTTATAACGTTAAAAAATGGATGTGATCGCTCTTGTTGGTTTGATGGGACAGGGATTAAAGTTTTAACAATATATAACACTTAAGGAACAAGCAAATTATAATTCTGGACCAAAGTGGTGCGTTGTAGTTATTACACAGACGATGACTACGCGCACAGTCATTTAATTTGATAGTGCTAAAAATGTTCGGTTTTACGCGGTCGCTTACCGTGTTATCATCCAATTGCATCATACGATTTCCAACTAAGCCCACTCCACTGTTAGTGTAATCCAATCGAGTCCCATTTCGAAGAAGGGGTTAGTGTCATGGAAAAGGTAAAGCATATATACAAATAAATAAATCGTATGATCTTCTATTTTTGATAACTGATTAAACCATTAACAATGATACAGACCTCGAGGTCTTCTCGATGAATATGAATAGTAAGAAAAATATGAATACGAGTACAAATGCTGATTATCGAACTCAATGTAATATATTATTTATTTAAAATTTAATTTATGTACTCGATTGATTACAATGTAATAAAAAATATATTTGATTTTCCTTACTATGGCATAAAATGTATGTATATATGTGTATACAAATTGTGTATTATGTACACAGTACCATTATAAAAAAAGCAGAAGTTAGAGAGTAGAGGTTTTGACCCTTTTTCTATTTTAATTAATTTTATCAAATGGTTTTATAGAATGTTTCATTAAATATTGAATTTGATATGCAACTTATCAAATTTTAAATTAACCCCCACATATTTATATTTAAAATGATAGACTTATATAAATATTAATACTAATACTTATATAACAGTATAACACCAATTAAATTACATTTATACTTGAATCGATTTGGATAACCGTTTTTTCATAAAAACGTAACCACTAGTAATGTGTGCAAGTTGCTCATTATGAAATGCAGGGGAAAGATCATTTTTACACTTCCTGTGAAAAAAATAGATAATTTTTTATCAAATTATTCGCCCAATACGTGAGAAACAGAAAAAAGATTTAAATATTAATATGACGTAAAGAACAAATCTACATTAATATTATGTACTTATGTATTGAATACTATGCTATATATTCTGGAAACCTATACAATATCAAATATAGGCAGCTCGATTTAATACATTGAAAATATATTATATTATATTATATATTTATAAAGAAATAACAAATATACTATTTTTTAATATTTTTGTATTTTCCTGTAAATGACCTATACCTCATATAGTCCTTCCTGAGGTTTTTTATACAAATCGTCAGAAAAAATTGTTTATAGCTTTCATATATTATGTTATTAAAAATACACATAGAAGATAATTTTAATTTACTATAATTTTTGTTTAATATTTAATTACGAAAATTTAAATTTGATGGATAAAAAAAATTACATACATATTACCCACACAGAATTTATTAATCATAACGTTTGAAACAATATTTATGTATAATTGGAATTTTAATATATAAAATAAAAACTTAATACAACATCGAATATATATTTGATTTTTCATGTTGAACCTGAAATATGTAATAAGAACTTATTGACATTCAAAGACAAATATTTAAAAGTTAATACAAATTTAAATTTGTATAAATGTATAATACTTAATTCAATGTTTAAAAATGTATAACCAATGGATGTTAAACATTTATCAAATATTTTAATATTTTATTATTCTTTTAATACATATTAAATACTTAAGTTGTGTGGGTATTATATTGAACATATAAAAATTTAATCAGTTTTAAAATGTTACAAAGTAATTAAAATAAAATCTTATATAATTTAATCTCTTTTTTTTGCGCTTTCAATTTCACCATACTACGTAAAAGTTATGTCACTCCCAGCTCAAATCAAAAATAACAAATATACAATCTAGGGCGCTCGCAAGCAGGTTCAGGGGGGACAACTCCCTCCCTAGTATTTCAGTTATTCAAAATAATTATATCCAACTTAAATATCCCAAAATCCCAAAATCATAATTGGTACCAAGGTGTATTAATATTTATAGCTGGTTATGTTCAACAATGTATGAGAATCGTTTATCCAAAATATGTATGTTAAGTTTACACAGAAAAAAAATCGAAGAACTTCATTTAGCTGAAAAAGTTGTTGCTGAATTTAGGAAAAATAAAATAAAATTGCAATTTGTGTTCAATTAGTTAATAAAAGTGTTTAATTAGTATATACGTGTTTGATTATTAATAAAAATTGATGCTATCTCCCTCCTAAATTTTCATCTGTGGGCGCCCTTGTATACAATCAAATAATGAGCATTTAAGCCATAACTATTCTTATTAACAACAGTTTTAAAAAACTACTCCCAACAACTATTTCTATACCTTCTCCTTAAAATAAAATTATTAAATACTTCAATAAGTATTAATTTCTTTCCTATTTTATTTTATACTCGAAAAAAAAAATCTCTTATTATTATTACTTTCGCTTTAAAAATAAATTTTTTTCGATCAATTTAGATCTCCATAAATATTATCTTCACACCCTTATTGTGATAACTAGGATCCGGATTTAAATTCACTTAAAACCATACAAATATGCTCTAAAAAATAGCCAAAAATGTCCTTAAAAAATGTATTTTACCACAAAAATGACTTAATTTTTTTTGTTTTGAGTATTATTGAACACACTATTTAATACATTAAAATCACAAACAAACGTAATACGAGCAACATTTGCAAGATGTTTATTTATTTTATAATTAAAATTATAATAATTATAATTATTTGTTATTTGATCGGATACTGGTGACGTTCCATAGTCAATAATAAATTAAGATAAGATAAAAACTGAATCGAAAAATAGATTGACAATTTATGAAATAAATTAAACAATTGACAATTGATGAAAGATTGACATTGAGTATGGAAAAACTCGATAAACTTACTTAAATATCAAGAAAATAATTTGTCTTTTGATTTTATTTTGAATAGGCTAAATTTGTTAAGTGTATTGAACAAATATGCATTAAAACCCAAGAAAATGACCCAATAATACTAAAAATTCTTTAAAAATGAAAAAACGTCGAAATATGCAAAAAAAAATCCAAAATAAAATTTGTAGTTTTGAAACCCTCGTTACATGAAACGAATTATGTTTTTAGAGAGCATTGTACTCGTATATGATCAATCAAAAAAATATGCACTTTGTACTAAAATCCGGACCCTAATGATAACATATTATAATCTTATTATTAAATAATTTATAATTTCTAAGATCTATATACCTATTAATGCTAAATTTGAAAAATGGTCTTGTGACATTGATGAAAGTAATCAATTTTTTATCCATCGTATAGCAGAAAATGCTTTTTGACAAGTACCACTACTAATAGGAATTGAATAAGTTATATTCAACAATTTATAAAAGTTTTGAAAGATGTTGGATGATACTAGACACGTACACAAAAAAATATTTTGAAAGGGGCTTTTAGGTTGTATATTTTCATAATCATATAATTTCTATACCACTTTTACTATATATAAATATATTTAAAAATTTTCATAAATTTCGAAAGGAATTCGAACCACTAAAACCTTCCCTTGTGTAGGTGCCTAGATGATATCACCGCGTAACTTCGGGCATTTCCAGAGGTGTCAATATTTGATTATCGATAAATTGTTTTTTTAAGGGTTTGTGCAATCATAATTTTTGTTTTTAAATTTCTCATTAAATTTCTAAATCATAAAAAATTAAAACAATTTGGGGTTAAATTCGTCATGCACATTATATATCTAAATATATAAAAGAAGAATAAATTGTAGGTGATACAAAATGCACCAAATCAAATATACCCTTGAAAAATATAGCAATAGCAAAGTGTTTCCGGGTCAGTTTGAACATTATAAATAGCATATTTAATTAGGTATTAAAAAAATAGATAATAATTTAAAAATAAAAGTTAAAAGTAAACAAAGTATTAAAATATTTAAATAACCATGACCATCCCCTTAAAATGAACTTCTTATCACAGACAACTATTCATCACTGAACCCGCTTCCCATATTAGAGGCGGAACTAGAAATTTTTACGCCTGGGGAAAATGTTAAAATTATAGACCAATAATAAAAAATACTCTTATCGGAAATTTTTTTCTAATAATTAATATACAATCATACTTATTGAGTTTTAACCTAATAACAGTATTTAACAAAGTTAAAAATATAAAATTAGTTGTTAATTATTACAAAAACAACACCCTCTAAAATTTTACAATAACGGGATGAATTCCCGCCTTCCATCTCCTGGTTCCACCCCTGTCCGTTAAAAACACTATTTTTATCATTCATTATACATGAAACTATCTCAATCCAGAGTAAGGTGTATATCCGTTATCGATTAATGTTATGTTATGAACTGATAACGAGTTTCCGTATCGAAAAAAGGTGGCTTTCTCATTGATAGGTCATCGTCGTGAACAAGTCTCCGCCACCATATTATTTTTAATATATCCATATTTCGAAGGTACTTCTAAATAAAGAGTAGATTAGTTTTGTTTTCCCGCGGTGGAATATTTATTATGGCTGAAAAATTATTGACTGATTGAGAATGAGTTAAATTTTCGATTTATAACATTTGTATTTATCGTATTTTTCAAATAGTCTACTTAGAGTTTTACAAATGTATAAGTGATTTCGTGTGAATTTTTCTTAAAAATTAAGTGTACTGTCATAAGTACAAGTAATTTACATTACTTCTACAGGAATTTTAACTCACCTGCACATAACGCATTAATTGTTCATAAATATTTAGAGAGAACTTTTAATCATCGATGGATTGAGCACTCGTGGGCCAGTACAATGTCCGCCAAGATCACCAAATTTGGCACCTTTGGATTTTATTTTATGGGGACATCTGAAAACAATTGTCTATTCTAACCCACCAAATGATCTTCAAGATTTGAAAAATAAAATAATTATTGCGTGTGTATAGTTAACCGAGGAACAAATACTTTCTGCAACACATAGAGAAGTATTGCGACGGTGTGAATGCATTGTAAATAATGGTAATAACTTCGAGCAATTCATGTGATGAATTGTAAATTTAATCAAAACTCACCTATACATAATTTAATTTTTTAATAAAATCAAAATTTTGTTAATTAAAATAATAGAATATGTGTTAGTTTGTTTATGTGTTATTTTTAATAAACTAAAATTATACCATTTACAAAAAATTTGAGTTCAAATTTCTGTAGAAGTTATGTAAATTACTTGTACTTATGAGAGTACACTTAATTTTTAAGAAAAATTCAATGACGAAATTACATATAAATTTGTAAAATTCTAAGTAAACTATTAAAAATACGATAAATACAAATGTTATAAATCGAAAATTTAACTTATTCTCAATCAGTCGGTTTTGAAGATAGAGCAAAATTGTAAAGATCAAAGTTGCTTTTAAAAATTCACATAATTCAAATTTGAACTCAAAAATGGGGGGTATCTTTAAAAAAAATATTATTTTGCGCATGTGCAAATTTTTTTTTTAAAAATTAAGATTTATCAAAAAAAAATTGTAATTTTATGTCCTTTATGCATTACAAAAAATCCGAATCGCATACAATATCATGCGTTCGAAATATTTCGTGTTACCTTTATCGTTATACACACTGTATACTATCTGACCCGACAAACATTGTTTTATCATATAAATTATATCTAGAGAGTATTTTGCTAGAAAAAAATAACTAATTTAATATAGGTGTGTGAGGATGTGGTATATAAGTGGAAGAGGAATGAAGTGATGAGAACGGTGACGAAATATAAAAATAAAAAAACATAAAACATTTATTATTTTAATAATTTATTAAAATTGATCCTTTAAAATGTATCGCTAATTACGACAATATTAGTAAAAAACAATATCATTCCCTTAATGCAACAGAGTACACAATATTTTTTGTTGTCTCATCTTTCACCAACACAAACAAACTGGATGGTTCGAGAGCACGCCACGTACTCATATAATTGTCCGTGTAAAAAACATGATATGCTCATATCTAAGCCACAGACATACATCGTTTGGCTTTGAGACTTATTAATAGTCATTGCAAATGCCAATCTAATTGGAAATTGAAGGCTTTAAATTGTATTTGCACCACTGTTGGTATAATAGAGATTCACGGTAATAATATATTTTCACCTCGGAATTTGCCATTTAAAATGATGTCTTTGATAACATTTTTCATTAATTTTTTAATGACTAATAGCGTGCCGTTGCACAACCGTGATGGGTTCAAATTACGAAGCAAAATAATCGGAGATCCAACTTTCAGTTGTAAATTATGCTGTGGCATTCCTGGTAAATCCAATGAGTTTAAAAACTCTGTTGGATAATTTACAGCTTCAGTAACATCACAAACTGTATCAATAGATTTGTATGACACCAAGTCTCCTGGTAACAAATGTTGTATCTTGAGATACAATTCGTTGACGACCACATTTTTTGCTGCTAAAATTGCTCTTTCTGTCAGCCACTCATGATTTGTGTATTGCCTGTGTACATTGAGAAATATCTGGTCAATGAGAGCATCTTGCGAATCAATGATTGTGCAGAAATCGGTCGGTAATTGTATGCATCCCATTTCTCTGTAATAACTTTCCCATCACCGATATCTAACAATTGTTTTGAAAATCTTTTGCACGCAGCTTTTTTTGATTGAATCACAAATATCGTAATCGTTCGCTCTCTATCTTTACATACATGTCGACCATGAATTGTTGACCAAGCTCACGACATCGTAGAATAACGTTGTTCTAATCGCATCTAATCATCAACCGATATGCATACTAATCCTTCGAACTAACATTCTTGTTTGTTTTGGCACCTGTTGCGGAATCTTGTTGGTTAATATTTATGCAATATCCATCATTTAATATGAAAAATAAAATTAATAGTTTTTAAATAGTTTTTAATAGTTTTTTATAGTTTTTTAAAAGTATCATTTAATAATTCATTTTCAATTACGCAGTTATCGACCGGGTCAAAAATTATTAAATTAAACTACGATTTATTAAACAATAGCACTTAGGAGTTTAAAAAATAGATAAGAACCTATTCGCATACCTACCAAATGTATATACAAAATTTCATTAAAATGGGTTGTCGTTTCGGAGGAGTATGGTCACAAACACTGTGACACGAGATTTTTATATATATATAGAGATAGATAAATATTTCACAAAAGATTGGCCAACATTGGCACATGCAAATAATAATAAATCCCATTTTTCCATAATATTGATAATATAACAAACAATACAGGTTAAGGAGATGAGTTTAAAATTATGATTAACTTCATGTATGAACATTACCCAAGAATGCATGTATCTACGGTATCGTCCCAGGACGTACCGCCGTAAATTGATAGTGTTTCTTTGGCATTGTGTTATTCGAGACGCCAGCAAAAAAAAAAAAAGAAAAAAAAAAGAGGCATCGGCATCGACCGTTTACATACACCACATTAATACAACGATAATAACCTTATATAAAAATCGATAGGTCGGTATACATCTATGACTAAGAACTAGATACGCACACACTGACGGCATATAACCAAGAGCTCACTAAAGGAATTTGCACCCTTGTTAGGTGTGTATATATATATATATATATACATATAAGTAGATATGGGGAGTTAGACCTTTGTCCGGTTCTTTGAAGATTTTTCCTACTTAGGACAAATGTTGTAATGGCAGTGTTGGATTAAGCCTTTATTATTTAAATTGTGTTGTCTGAGCAAATTGAAAAAATCGTTATTTATTGGTTTATAACATGTTACATAATCTAATGGTGTACATCATTACAATTTATATATGAAATGGTATATAGTCAAATGATGTACATCATTACAATATTAAAATACACAACATTAGCTGTATAATTGAATATTTTACAATAGTACACGTACATAGACGATCAGTATACATCAAATTCAATTAATAATAAAATAATATAACAACTTTACAAAATATAATAAAAAATGAAATATTTATTACATCAGTGAACTAATATTAATTCGTATATACTATAATTTAGTCGTATTTGAATACTTTAAAGTGTTTCGATTACAACTTTATACGATTGAATCGACACAAATGGATATCTTATAAATAGGATAAATGGTCTCCTTTGACTTACTCAGTAAGCTGGTTGTTTTTTAGTTCTCCTGAGCAATCCGTAATATCCAAAGGCATATGATAAAATGTAGAATGTAACTAGAATTAAGAGATCAGTGTTGAAACGATTGATGTCATATCCATAGCTCAACAAGACTTCCTTGCCGTTACGCAGACAATTGTTTACATTGAAACACGCTGTAACACGCACATGTATGAGTAACATCAATTAAACGGCATTTGGACTAACCTAAATCATGTATAATATATTAAATAGTGATTTACAAAGATAACTTAATTTTATATCAGACCACTTATACCAATGTTGATGTGACTAATTTATCGAAAGTATTTCGATATCGATATCATCATTACAATTTATATTTTCTACAATATGAAAATTAAGTAAATTTTAAGTATTATAATCGTACAAAAATATTAAGCAATACATTTTTTCTAAATACATCAACATTTCAGAGGGGGCTTAAACACCCAACCCTCCTAAATACGGGGATAACCCGTTTGGGCGCAGTATAAGAAATTTACCTGGAAATTGTTAACACGTTTGGGCACATATATGAAAACACCTTTGGATACAATAGGTACTGTAACTAGTAATTGAAAGTCTTGTGTAATCGAGTTGGTTTCGTACAATACTAATTCGCAAACATTTGTTGAAACATTACACTGAAGATACAGGTACTGGGGTTTGACTTCAACATTCTTTTGGCTTGAGTTTTTTATCGTCTGATGAAGTTGAATTTGGTTTTGTTGAGCTTATGTCTATAGCGTCACCTGATGAAACAGACTTTACTAATTATATACTTGACAATTATAAATCTGAAGATTCACAATTTCCACCTTTTATTTGGGCTGAAGAGCTAACAACATACCCAAGAACAACTAATGGACCGGAATATTTTCATTCAAATTATAACCAACAATTTTATAAGCAACATCCAAATCATCAAAATGTTATAAACGTATTGACTGAAATTCAAACGAAGACCAATTTAAAAATGAATAGCATTGAAAAAATAACTAATAAATTAAAAAAAGAAACTAAAGAAAAACAAAAATTTGTACAAAAATGTTGAGAAACTTATAAAGTTAAAAAAAAGTATATTGAATTACATAAAAAATTAGGACCACGTTTTACAGGGAAAAAAATTAATTAATTACATAAAATGTGATACATAAAAAGATCACAATATAGTATAAATATATAAATAATTAAATAATAATGAACTAATAATTGGAAGATTATTAAGCCAACCTCCTCGCGATGTCTTCTGGGTAACGCTAATAGGTTCAGATTTAGTACAATATGTTAATATATGCAAAGAAATAAATGCATTCAAATGTACTATTATAAAGGGAAATATTACGCACAAACGTTTTATAGATTTAAGCCCTAAAGTGTTCTGTTTTAGGTAAATGCGCCCAAACGTATTTCCCCCTAGGAACGTCCCTGATTATTATTAGATATCGATATCGTTTGTATTTCATATATAGTAAGTCATAAATAAACCAATATCGATAGTTGAAAAAATATCGTTATGCAACACTAATAATAAATAACTAGACTGTATATTGATTGTTACAGACATACGTATAAAGGAGATGTCTCGCCATTGCAAAATCAACATTGTTTCACAGCCGAGGAAGAAAATTGAAAAATACTTCAAGTAATAAAATATAGACGGCAACGATCTAAAACAGATATATTATCGGTCATTTCATGAGTAAACAGTGTAATTGGTCAAAATCTGTGCTCGAAATAGAGGGAAATGCGAAAGTTTTTTTTAAAAAATATAAAGGTAACTTTCATTTTAAAAAAAAAAATTTTCAAGGTGCAAATTTATCGCGTTAATAAAAAAAAAAAAATTTCGACGGTTGATAATAGTTATTAAAAGGACACTACACCCACATAAACTCGTATTCTCTCCATCTGACAAACGTACAACATTGCAAATATGCGTTAAGTTGTAATATCAATTTATGTGATGTTAGTAGTGATGTTAACTTAAACGTTATAGTAAACTGACCTATAATCAAACTTTAAAGGAAGAATATTATCTGTGTTTTGTTGGTCGGTTTTTCTAATATTTTAATTTTTAAATGAGTTATAAGTATGTAAAATATTTCAATTTAAAAATTTCCTAACTCGCTTGAAAATTAAAATATTGAAAAAAAACCGACTAACATAACCCAAATAAGGTTCTTCCCTTAAAGTATTATTATAGATCAATTTACTGTAATATTAAAGTTAATACCACTACATTTAAATTACTGAACGCAATTTTTTCTATATTGTACGTTTGTTAGACGAATATAACACATGCCAGTATGACATTCCCCTAATGTAAGTTTTTTTCAACGAGACTTTTAAACTTAAAATTTCGTTAACTAAAATATCTAATAATAAATTGGTGTCTACCCGTATATTATTTCGAGCATTGTCTAAAAAATACTTTGAAACCATACCCAAGCGATATGTAGGCGCCACAAAGTGATACAGCAAGATAATCGTAAACCAATGAGAAAATAACAATATTTTCAAACTTTTCAAAGAATGCTGACAAAACACTTCCTAAATCATGTTTAAAAAAAAAAAGATATAATAACAAAATAATCGCCAGGGATGCATTCTGGGCTACAACATCAGTAGCTCAAACCAAACAGGGCATGACCTCAAAACTTGGAAATGCAAGAGTTCCTTTAATAATTAAATAATTGGAGTATATAAATACATATATTCTTCTTCTTCTCCTTTGCCTTTCTTCAACTATTTGAGGTCGGTCACCTTTGTTTTAAACCTACACTCACGTACCCCAGCACCCCCACATATGATATTCGTATTTTTTTTTGCTAAATATTTAGTATGCAATTTGTATGAATTTGTATGCTTATCCCCCAAATTTGTACGAACTTAGTTGTAGCACTACGAACGAAAAACCGGGGCGGTGCTGTGGACACGTGTCTCCAGCACCCCCAAAATGAACTGTTGAAATTGAAATTATATTAATAAAATATAATACTGATATATTATAATTTTTCTGTAATTCATTTATTTTATTTTATAATTTTTACATAACATTTATAGTAAGCATATTATGTATGTTGTATATTCAAATTGTGTATACTAAGTATTCACACGGAACTATTGTTGTAGACTTCATTGGGGTTGAATGTTTTTTCATGTCATCAAACAACTCCCAACTGTTCCCTCTTTTACAAATGGCATAGTAATGGCCAACTGCCTTTCTTAGACGGCTGAGTCCAGGCCGATAACAGCCAATACCTCTCAACTCCATTGTTTCATTTGAACATACGATTATTTGTGGTATGTCCTCAAGTTTTATATTAAATTGAGGACTGGCCTCCGTACTGTAATTGACATCATCACCTGCAATTAAACCAAAATGTATGAAAATTATACAGAATTCAAATAAGTATTTAATATTTTGTTTGTTTACACCAACCTTCCCACTTGATTAAATCCACTATAATGTGTATACTTGATATGGAAGTGGTTATTGTTTTTGTCTCTTGACAAGAATAATTTCCTTCTACGGAACCACACACCGAATATTCTGTCATTACTCTTTCTTGTATGAAGTTGGGAAGATCACTCAAATCTCCATATGTATTATACGTTGAGTATATCATAGAAATAATTCTATTGCTTTTACATGTTACGTTTGAATATGCAATGTTTTCAATAATAGAAGGTAATTAGATAAACAATGTATTAAATATTTTTGATGCCGTCGAATCACAAACTACTAATTTTAGATCTCCAATTCTTTTACATTTGGGGTTGTAGAGTGTTTATCATAATATCAGCCCTTTGCGAATATGTTGATGCTGTAATACCATATTTTACTATCTTAGAAATAAAACTAAAGAAAGTAGAAGAATCCAAAATGATATCAATTTTATTAGAATATAATTGACTATCGCAATAAGCAACCAAAAATATAGACGCAATTGTTTCAAACGCACAAGTATTCGTTAATACAACTTTTCCTATTTAGTTAACAGAACAGGTTTTTAATTCTAGAGCTCGTGATCCATTTTTTAATAATGGTAAGGTCCACACAATTTTAGATTTTTTTAAATTAATATGTCTCAAATGAGGATTTGGTTCAAGATAAGAATTATTTTTTCTATTTTTTTTTTAGATTTCTTATTCCAATTCTGACATGCCAATGATTCTCCGTCTAAATTTGTCGGTTCATTTTCAGTATATTGTAAATGATTTATACATGAAAAACAAAGTCGTCCATCCTCATGACCTGGTTCATAATTTGAGCATAAGGATAACGCGTGAACCGAAATATTGCACTTCGTACAACGATGAGCTCCACTTTGAGAAAGAAATACACCTAAAAATAATAATTTATAATTAATTAAAATAATTTATAATAACATGTCTAATTTACCTGTATTTTACAGAGAGCATGTCAATTTATTTGAATTTACTGGTATAGTTTTAGATATATTTATCACTGTATCTTCATTGATAGTTTTGTATAATATATTATCTGGTGATCTTGATTGTACATTTTGTATTGTATCAACTTTTACACCTGTATCAACTTCATTAAATAAATTATGTTCTTCTAGTGCTGAGCTATTATTCCCTCGAGTTATTGACGCTTCTCTTAAAGACGAAATATGGTTTTCTAAAAAAACTTTGAGATTTGTTGGGAGTTCAATATTAATAATAACACGTGCCCCCAGCACCGCCCCGGTTTTTCGTTCGTAGTGCTTCAACAAAGTTCGTACAAATTTGGGGAATAGACATACAAATTCATACAAATTACATACTAAATATTTAGCAAAAAAAAAAATAAGAATTTCATATGGGGGGGGGTGCTGGGAACATGTATGTCCTATACTCGTCTCGATTTTCTACATCCCCTACGCACAAACCAACGCCCCTCATATCGTTCTGAATCATATCCAACCATCAAATTTTTGGTCTTCCTCCAAGTAGATTACCATAAGATCTGCATATCAACATATTTATCACGAACGTCGTCACCAGCAAAAACTCCCATTTTATGCCCACTATCCAAAACACCAAGTATGTATAGATCAGCGATTCCAGTACGGTCCAGATAAACTGCAAAGATTTAAAATTTCGTTATTCATATAATATTATAGAAAAGTTAAAATAATAACAATTAGTTGTGAACGTTAAAATGAATGAACTATTGTTTTGCCGCACTAACCGTGATAATGATCTGAGATATGTAGTACACGCTTAGCGCGTAAATGTTGTTGCTGATTTCTCGATGGACAACCGAGAATTCAGTTTGATACGTTATAATTGACGTGTAACAGTACTGGAAAATAGAATTGGTCATTAGACATAACCAGAATCCTTGCCAGTTCTGTACGGCTTTCACATCAAACTTGAGGTTTAGGTATGGCATCGACAATATTAAACCGAGAAACTAATGTAGGAAAACGTAAACAAATTTAGAATTAAACACAAATAAACAGAACTCGTGATTACCATTAACGTTCCCAATTCCAACAGTTTTACTTTGTAATTTCTTAACATACATACGATGGATCTATTCAATATCAATATTAACTGTGTAATCCATAATGGTTTTAGCCTAAATCGGAAACGATCATAAATTAAAAGAAATATAGTATATAATAGAAATATAAAATTTGTATATTATGTAGAAACCAAATTAATTTTGAGTATACTAAGTTGGTACTATAAATGCGCATTGAATATTATTTTATGTCACATACACAGAGCTACTCTAACCAGGTGTGCAAGGTGTTCAAAAAAAAGGACGACTCTATAAATCAAATTTCAGAAAAATAATATAATAATGTATATATAAAATATATAAATATATTATATTATATGTATAATATAATAATAATTTCATAATAATTACTTAGGTAATAATATTTTATTTAAAACATAATATAGTACATCTTTTAAACAATAACTAAAAATAATTTTTATAACATTTTTTAAGTTAAACAAAATTCTGATCAGTGCTCAGATATGAAATTTGGAAAGGGGGGCAGCAAATTTGTTTGTATGACATAGATGGTCAAATAGGTTAGTGTAGACGTATAATGTATAACGTAAATGTCCCCAGCCCCTTCAACGAAGATATTCTAGAAAAATATTTTACAAATATTTTGTTCGTCATTTGTTCGAATTTGTTTGATAATTATCAGAATTTGTTCCACGATAGTTTTTATACAACAATAAAAACTATGAGAAAGGGCTGAGGACATACTCGTATGTCTATAGCCTCCACTAGTCTTAATACTTTGGATATCTCATTAATTTTTTTTTTTTACGATCATATTGTATGTCATTTGTTTGAATTTGTTTGACAATTTTTAAAATCTTCACTTTAACTCTACTCTCATTATAAGCAAAAAACCTATTTTCCCGTATCCCCCTCCACCACTTTTTAAATATTTAATTTTTTTAATTAATCTCAAATTTTCCATTATAAGCGAAAATTATATTTTCTCATGCCTCCCCCACTTTTTTGTTGTGAAATTTCTAATCATTATAATACTGTCTGATTTTTGCTATCTTTTTTTTTATCGAATTTTGTTTTTGTTTGCATATGTTTGTATATATTTATGTATATGTATTTTCGTTATAGTTACTATAAGAAAAAATATTATTATGGTAATTGCAATCATCAATATGATAATTTAAATATAAAATAAATAAAATAAATAACTCATACATTTTATAACTTGATACTCAAAATACTAATTCTAGTAGTATTTATTGTTTAGATCAGTGGTCGACAACTTTTTTGGACCCTTGGGCCACATTCATAAATTAAAAAGGATTCACGGGTCAGACAATACACAAAATTGATATGATATTCAATGACATATCTTGGTTTTGGAATTTAATGCGGACCATATAAAAGAGGCGTGTGAACCGGATGCGGCCCGCGGACCGCCGGTTGCCGACCACTGGTTTTAGATATAAAAAATTAAAAAAATAAAACTTGCATCATTTTAAAACCCATGCATTTCATCCATAATTTAAAATAAGTGTTAGAAAAATTCAAGAATGAAATGTGTTTGTGGAAGGTTAAAAGACCTAATTTTACTTAACTATAATAAAAAGAAGATATTTAAAAATAGTTAACATTGTACTTGTTTTTACACTATCATATTTTTATTTATTTATTTATTTATTTATTTAAGTATTTAACACCCCAAAGGAATAATGAGTATAGTTTTTAAGTTAACAAAAATTATACAAACAATTTTGAATGATATCATATTAATACATGTTTAAAAGAAAAATATAAGTGAATATAATATAAAATTTAAGTAAATTATTTAATATTTATTATTAGATTTTTTAAATTAAGTTGAAAATCATAAAATAAAACGAAGTGAGGTTAACATACATTATTACATAATTCTAAAAGGTGGTACTCCGGATTATTTTTGATAATATTTGTCGAACAATGAGATACTAAAAAAGGATGATTATTTCTTGAATTGAAAGTTGGAATTTTAAAACTTATTTTACTTAGGAATTCTAGTGAAGAAAGTTTACCATTTATTAACTTATAGACAAAGTTTACATCATTAAATAATCTTCTAGAAGCTAATTGTTCTAAGCCTAATTCTAAAGCTATAATATCGAAGGAAACATCCGATATTATTATCAAAATATAAAGTATTGTCTTTCAAAAGTGAAATTGCTTCAATTGATGAATCAACAAGTTTTCTACCCATATTATTAATAAATTAAAACAATTTAATTGATAACAAATTAATTTAAATAAAAAATTACTAATTTAAATTTCTTAAATATGAAAATATGAATGATAGATATATTAAATCAATACAACATGAAATACGGACATACGATATCCTAATACAACGGGTTTCAAACTGTACTCCGTGGAGCTCTAGAGTTTCGCAAGAGAAGTCTAGGGGCTCCATGGAACCGTGGGCATATCTGAATTAATTAAATTTAGATATTAATATATTTCTTAGTAATCGAGGAAAAACACTAGTATGATTACTTGAATTGCGAAATTAATTGTAATTAATGATACCCATTTATTTATTTACAACTCATACTTCTAATAAAATGATTTATTATTCTGATTTCATTACTTGGCTGGTAATTTCCACAAAAATCCAAGCCTCTTATAATAAAAAAATTAACTTTGGACTATGTTCTTCTCAATCTGTATATATAAAATGACTTGTTCTAAGTGATTCATTATCCTCTAGCCGGAATCACTGAAACCATGAGTATAAAATGTGGACAGTAATTTTGTTTTGTAACGGAAACGCCACTAAGAAAAGATTATTTAAATTCCCCTTAAAGGAATTAAAAGGGAAAAGCATTTAAAAAATCACCTAGCCGGAACCACTGAAGCTACGAGTTTAAAATGTAGACAAGTAAGTTCATTTTATGATACAAAAAATCCCTTAAAAATCATATTTCAAAATTCAACCTCAACAGGTGTTAAAGGAGGTAAAAATGGAAAAAATTGATAAAAAATTATATTTTTATATGCTCCTTAATCAGTACATTTGCTATTATTATTTAAGTAGTTAGGTATTGTAAAAACTGTATCATATTAGATAGACATATAAGATATTACAGATATGTGGTTTATTATACCTGTTTGTTAGTATAATAAGAATAATGCTAATAATAATAATAATTCGTAAATATTTTTTTCAACTAAAAATTCTATACAGTAGTTATAAATTTGTAGGCATATTTTATTTCAACATTTCTCCGATTAAAATTGCATCTTACAATTTTTCTTTGAAATATTAAAATATACTAATTTTTGCCGATTTCTGGTTGTTACAATACGCGAGCAACCTAGGGTATACATATCTAATAGGCTCTATCCGAATTGAGTCCCGAATTATTTAAGGTACTACTCTAGTTGGGTCCCGGATTTTTATAGGTACTAAACTAGTTGAGTCTACATTTTACTATAAAAAAAATTCATAACTGAAAATATGACTGAAAAAATTTCAGGAACAATAAATCGATTTAATTTTGTAAAATTAATGTAGAATACATTTTTACCAACACAAAAGTGATTTTTAAAAAATTTATTTAATTTTTATTTATATTATATAATGATTTTAACATTTTTAATATTTTTTCATTTACCAATATGGCTATAATTATATTATATAATAATATGTATTTTTATACTTGATTTTTGACATTTTTAATATTTTTACTTACACAATTCTAATTATTTATATTTTAACGAAAAAGAAATTAAAAAACAAAAAAAAACTATAAAAATTTTTTTTAACCATACCTGTGGTCTAAATAGATCATAGATATCCTAAGTCTGTTAAAATGGGAAGGAAAATGTTTCTATAATGTAGTACTTACCAAAAAATATACAAAAACTAGTGTAATACCTAAAATAATTCAGAACCCAACTAGTGTAGTACCTATACAAATTCAGAACCCAACTAGTAAACTAGATGTGATTAGCTCCTAGTACTCGGGACCAAACTCGGATGCTCCGAACTAAAAGCAAACTGTAATATAAAACTGATAAAATAAAAAGTTAAGTATCACAAAAAACTCCACACGGGCGAAGCCTAATTACTTAGTTAATATTGATAATTATTGTTGTCTCGAATATAAATTCCCAATTTATGGGGCTCTGTAAATTTCTTTAGAAATATAAGGGCTCCGCGAACAATAAAGTTTGAGAACCATTGGCCTAATAACATAATATATCGATTAGCAATAACGATCTGTTTAAATGAAAATTAAAAAAATATATTATGAACATATAATTTTTTCTACAATTTAAGTTATTTTGAAATTAAATTTTAAAGTGTAGAATCTGTACTGTATTTGTTAAAATAAAGAGCCCTGTAACCAGTGTTGGGCAAATTGTAATCTTATTAATGATTAATGATTACGATTAAATTTTATAATCATTAATCGCTATAAAAATTAATGTAATCATTAATCACAATTAAAAATAATTTCAAATGATTAATAATAGTAATAATAGTAATAATTTAATCATAGTATTGATTACGATTACAAATTGTATCAATTTGTATTCATAATTAATCTTTATTGTTTTTTCTATAATTATTGTATTTTATATATGTTGTATTTTTATATAAAAAAATAAATACCTTCTAACATGTGTCAGATAAGATAACGGAAATAAACAATTAATGGACTATTATAGTCCATATACCTATATATGATAAATTCCTGGTTCTAGGACTTAAGTTGAAAGATTGGAAATTATTTAAAGTCTACAGAAATATAATATAAATAAAATGAGTAATAACGATTAACGATTACCAATGTAATCGCCATTACTGATTACATTAAAAACTGATAATAACTGATTAAATGATTAATAACTAATGTAATTTAATAAATTAATCGTAATCGATTACGTAATTTAAGCGTAAATTAATCGATTACGCCCAACACTGCCTGTAACGATCAATTTATTTGTCAAAATTTGGTTTGACAAATGTTAATTATTGACCTACTCCTAATGAACTAAATATGGACCCTCCGAGTGCATGCTTATAACTATAACATAATATAGTATATCTATCCGAAAACTTAAAGGATGAAATTATTTAAAAAAAATGTATATCATTAAAATATATTTTATACGATTATACTTACATTCGTAAGTGTTGTGTATAATCGAATTGAATCTGTAAATATTGTAAAAAGTTCGTTGAAGTAACAAAATTAATTATTTGATAATAATTATATTTATTTTACTTGATCATTAAATAAATCGTAATTTATATTTATTTGATTTTCTGTTGAAGATAGCTTGCACATTTCATCGACATTTTGTTTTACTTTTTCGTTTTCGGAATTTAATATAGAAATTACGAAATCCGCTTTGTTGTATAAATCCGGGCACTTATAATCAAATCTAAATAACAAAATAATTCAAATTAAACCAGACTATAGAAATAATCGCTAATACTGTAATTTATTGTTAAAACAATAAAAATAAAAGGTAATAAAACTCGGATTTATATGTAAATAAATATTTTTACTGTGATTTAATTAATTCATTTAGGTAAATGATAAATTTGTTTCAAGCGATTTTCAATGAAATTAACTATATTTTATTTTACATATTTTTTAATTATTTCATTTTTTTCCTATATATATATATCGATAATTTGTTCTTAAATAATTATTTTTTGTGTATGATTGTATTTTTCAATACAGATAATTTTCCATGTTTTCAAAAGTACATAAATAGAATAATACCAATGATTGAACTTAATCCACGGTCGACAAAAGTTCGAGACTTATGTCCTCGATAAATGATTAATAATAATTTACTAATACTCCTTTGTGTTTGAAGTATTGATAGCGATTCAATATACCTACATTAACGAACTTTGAAAAAATAAATGAGGTTGTGTCAACGTTTGATCCTACTTCAGCAGTTTCTATTCAAAAAGCGAGAAAACTATTAAACAAAGATAATATTAAAAATAATTTAATCTATATATTTGTTTATTTTGGATTTTTAGAGAATAAAATAAAAAAGCTAGAAATTAGAAAACTGACATTAGTTCAAAGTTTAGAACTCAGAAGAAACTGTAAAACGCATTGAACAAATAAAAAAACCATTAGGCATGGCAGTACGAGAAAAATTGCTCAGTGTACCTACTGCATACAAATCCTGATTTAAAATGCTTAAAAATAATTAAATATCTATTGCAGAATTAATGGGATAATATTGTAGACTGAGCTCGCAGCTTACTCCTTTAGATATTGCAAGTATAAAATTTGCACCGATAACCACTGTTGAAGTCCAGCGTTCTTTTAGTTGGTACAAGTCTGTGTTACGACTAAACCGTTGATCATTTAACTTTAAAAATGTGAGCACGTATATGGTATCTCATTGCTATCAATATCAAGACGAATAAGATTAAATTTCATAATAGTTTCAGTTCAATTGTCTTCATTTTTTTTTTCATTTTTTTTTCATTTGTAAAGCAATTTTTAATTTTTTTTTCAGTATTATTTTCTTTATACAATTTTTATATTCCATAATTAAATTTTTTTATCAAATAAAAAGTGATTTTTATTACAAAAAAATAAATATATATATTGCGATTTTTTTAATACATATAAATCCGAATCCTAGTAATAACATAAACATATTATGTCCAATATTCATTTTACAATCTACATAGTAACAATCAACGCGTTTTGCACTCTCAAGTTCCAAAAATCTTATTGGAGTTAAGAGAAGGTTTATCAATACTCATCAGTAGGCCTTGGAAGTTATTGCGCTTAAACGCATTACAATTGATCGCATTATTGTATTAAATAAACAACCATCATTTGATTTAAGAATTGCATTACTGCTGTAAAAATACCCAAAGTTGCACTTAAAAATTGCACTAAACTTTATATTCACCAAAATAACTATTTAAAAAAAAAAATTGTAATATTATTTTTTATTAAAACTCTTAAATTACAAAAGTGAGCTCTTTTACAAAATATTTCAAAAGAAAAATTCATATTAATACTGGAATTGTGATTTTAGTCTGGTTTTCCAGGAGTCTACGAACAAAATTATTAACGTTTCGATTAATTATCATTCATTAAAAATAATTGATTGATCAAATAATCGTTTTATAAAAATCGCATGGCCCTGTTCGTGCATCGTTTTTTCAAATATTTCTATTACAGTCATCAAAATCGACAAAACCCGAAATAATAATAATAAATTATTATTATTATTATTAATATTATTTATTAATATCTATTTATTTATTATTAATATTAATAATATTTAAATATTTCTAAAATTGAATTATAAATGAGGCAAATCGAAAAAATTCTAGAGAAATTGCATGAAGTTTCACTAAAATTGTTTAAATTTTTATTCGTACTTGTATGGAACGATTGATATAACCTACTCAGCAATAAATCCGAACAATAGAAAAAAAATTGCAAGTGCAGCAACTTCCGAGGCCTATTCATGTAGTAAACTATTATGCACTTATGCCGCCATCACTGGAAATTTTATAAACATAATAGAATTAATTTCCTTACGACGAGTCCAACCCGTCCGACGATTTCGATGATTTGCAACCGGATACAAACAATGCTTAGAGGCAGTGGCGTGCGCGGAGATGATGGATGATATATCCTCCCTCCCCCATAGGCTTTTTTTTTTTAATCTTAAACGTTAAAAAACGTATTTAAGAAATACGACGAGGCAGTCACGGTTAAATGGATTGGCGTCAATGAACATACATCGAGACATTCCATTATCTTCAGAACAAATAGTTGATGAATTTAGTGTAAAAGCCAGAAAAATGAATGAAGGATGAATTTTCACCTTGATTGCAATATTTTTTTTTTTATACCAAATTCCTGCGCACGCCACTGCTAAGAGGTAGTGACTTCGTAGAGAAATCTGTACCACGAGACACTCGCGATCTATACATACAAGGTTGACAAGTTACTTTTGAAACAACTGGTTGACCATGGCAATGGGGCCCTGACAGACCAATCGTCCGTTGGACAGCAGGACCACGTCGTCGAATTTGTCGAACACGCCGGACGCGGGCTGGTGAATAGTGCAGACGACGATCTTGCCGGTATGGGCGATGCGTTTCAGCGCGTCGACGACGTGCGCGGCCGCGTAACTGTCCAGGCCGGTGGTGATCTCGTCGCAGAACAGTATTGGCGGATCGTTGAGCAGCTGCACGGCCAGCGTGACCTTCTTGCGTTCGCCGCCCGACAGAAGCGACAGCGTCGTGTCCGCGAACTCGCCCATGCCCAGCTCCGCCACCAAGCGCCCGATACATTCGGACCGGGCCCCGGCCGTGGTGCGCCGGTCCATTTTCAAATTGGCCTCGAAACAACAAGAGAGCGACGTTGATGGCAAATTAACATTTTTAACGTACGTCACGTGCATAATTTATTAGACAAACGATCGGAGTGTTCGGCTGAAACACCTGTAGGCCGCGCTAAACGTGAATCCGATTCGTGGGGCTCACCCAACGTTTTCGCAGTAAAATAAAACAAAAATATAAAACATAACATTGACCGATTTTTATTTTATTAAAATAAACCCAACAATAATTTGGTTGTATTGGCTGTTTATTAGTTGTACAGTCGAAATCGTACTGTCAACCGGTTCTACTTTTATTAAAATATTTACACAAAATTCACTTTAATTTTGACTATAATTTCACCATGGATTTACTATGACAACCAAATTTCTGGTCGGAGCACGTTGTATTTTTCATGGATTTACACCAAAAAAGCGAAACTAAATTTAACATACTTTTCTTAGTTAGATTTTAATTTAAACTAAACGTATGAATATCTCATATTCTCTTCTATGACAACTAGGAAACCGATTTTTTTGATTTTTTTACCCCAAGAAGTCTTAAAAAATATTTGATAATTACATTTTTTTTTTTTTATAATAATTTTAAAATTGTTTGTCTTTAATTTTAAAAAATTTAAGTATTAATAGAAAAAGTGTTTTCTAGTTTTCTTAGCCAAAATGTTTAGAAATCGAAATATTTTTTCAAAATAAAAATCAAGCATCGGGATTTCAGGTTATTTTAATTTTCTCTTTGGCAATTTTCACTGTCTTGTAGAGATCAAAATTAATTCATAAAATTATTTTACATGCACTTTAGTGCCTTCTGCATATGCGTACGAAAAGTAATATGTTCTCGGAATTAACGTTGAGATAGCGGCTATGAATATCTACGATAACGAATAGGTAACATCAACGATTTTTTTCTATAATCATTTCTATAATCATTGATTAAATACTAGTGGATTCAATCAATAGAAAATTATTAAATCAATCATAGACACTAATATTTTCTGTTTTGAATGTACTCGTAAAAATAAAGTTAGGGCCATAATGCACTAGGTAGCCAATGCCATACATAATTGCTTATTAGAGCTCGCACACTAGGCAGCACAATTTTTCCAGGCTGTTGCAGCTAGAAAAACTTGCACGACTACACGGCAACCAGAACAAGACGAGGTGAATGCATGTGATTACCGTCAGTCTCCGCTCACTAGTTCAAGCAACCGGAGGTATTTTGCGTTCTTGAGTTTTTCCTCAGTTATACGATCACCCCGTTATTTGTCGAAGAAAATATTTTTGTTTTGTTTACTCATCTCAGAATAATTACTAATTTTTCTTCTGGATACATAAATTTTCGCGTACGAGTGTCAATATCCGACAATGCATTTTTTTAAATTTTCTAAAATTCCATTTAATAATTGCATTAACATTCTTCTATAATTAAAAAAACGTTTCGGATATTTTCGAAGATCCTTAAAATAATTTTGAAACAATCTCTTTGAGTACCGTTTCAAAAATATAGGATGAATTCAATATAATTTTTTTGTTCTGCGTTTCTTACAAGACAAAAGGTAAATAGTGATTGCCTCTTCTATGTCCATTTTGATACGATTGGTATTTTTTGCGATCGAACGAATGACGGACTCAACGACGCGTTATAAACTATTGGTTATAAACTGGCTGTTCAATACTTCGGCTGCCGCAGCTAGGCTGCCTAATGCATAGCGGCCCTTAATGGGAGTGAAAATTTAGTCAGTTAAATAATATTCTAGAAATAGGTATAAGTACGTATTACATTGATTACTATATGGTTGATTTCCACAATTTAACTTGTATAGTTGTAACATTGATTATAAATACTATTAGTATTATAATATAATATAATAGTATTTATCAAAAAAATACTAGAAAATACTCCACAAGAAAAAATACCACAGGGACGCTCGAGATTACGATAGTGAGACAGGACAAGAGAAAATGTGGAAAAAATTAGACTAGAAGACTGGAAAATAATATCATTAAATAGGGAAACTGGAGACAATTAAGTTGGGTTAACTTGAAGGCCGAATATCAATGAGAATAAGAAGTATTTACCAACCCTAATGTTACGGACATACAAGAATGTAGGTCCTTAAAAATATCATTATATGAGGGACCACTTATCACATAAATAATATTAGAATAACTCTTATATAATCATCACACATAGGCACCAGTAGTACGGTTGCAATGGATAAAGGATTATGAGCGTTTTCCAAATAATAATACGTAAATATATATCACAAGATAGAATATAAGACATGTGAAATGTGGCTATACGAAATGCAGAATTCACGAGACCACCTAATTATATAATAAGTAATTCAGGGTTGGGTGTACAGTAATAACTAAAGTACAAGTCAAAAACTACGTATAGAGGATTTACAAATCATTAGCCAAATACTATTATTGATAGTTATAAAAAACGAAACAACAATTTAAATGTTAAAACGAGTACAGGGAGTTCATATGAAAACGAAGTATATAAGGGGGTAAGGAACAAACCCATAATCAGATGTGTTATAGTCCAATCGTAGCAAACATCTTTTTAAAATGCCATCAGAATATTTTTGTTAAAGAAATATGAATATGTGAGAAAATTTGAGATACATTTAAAAGATATTTCTATGAACTTAATTTATTTTACAGACTAATAAGACTAATAAAATAAATGTTAAAAAATATAATTATTACACGTTGTTTACACTTACATAGAAACTTTTTATGATTTTCAAAATTATGTTTACCTAAATAAGTATACTTAAGTACACTAAAAATAAATGAAGACATATATATTCCAAATTTTTATATTGAATTCAGACTAAGTTATGAGGATTCTTCTTCAACGATTTCGGATGTTAAAATTAAAAATAAGAAATCTAATCGAACTACGAATTTGAAAAATTCAAACCTATAAATAGTACAAATATATCTTAGATATTTAAAAAATGAAATAGATTATATAAAATTATAATGTAAATACTTGATAATTATTTCAAGCCACTATGATTAATACTATTAGAGCAACAAAAAACTAACTAATATTGTTTAGTCGAAATTTATTTAAGAAATAATTGAAAGTACAAACTAAAAAATATTTGGTATCAGAAATTGATAATCGAAGCAAGTAGCTTATAGACGAACTAGAACAAATGGAAAAATAAAAAATTAAATAAATCAAAGTAAAACCAACATGTACATTTCTCGCTCCGCTTGAAATCTTATTTGTGAAGAATTTCGAAAAGAAAAATGTTCAAAGAATTTAAAATCGAATTAATTAAATACCGTTATTAAAGTATGAGCTACAATATAAGTACTTTTACATTATAATTTAAATATTTTAACTAAGAGGGATGAATTTAATAACAATGGTTTGTTTTACATTTTCATCAGTGTATTTGTGACTAATATAACATTATTTTTTTATACTCGTATGGCATATAATAATACTGTCTAGAGATTCAACCACAGTTATATCATTTTTTTTTGAATTTCTGTACTCAAAATAGACGACTAAAATGTTATATTACTAATAATTGTATAAAGCTTTTGAATTGCTTTATTTTATCAAATCGATAACGCTATCAAGTGACAAAAAAAAAAATAATTTGAAGTTATGTCTTTGTTATATAAATGTATGCTTATACTAAATTCACATTTTTCATACGTAACCACTGAGATGTCTTATAAACTTAAGTCTATTTTTTACTTGGTACCATATTATTATAAATTATTGTACACAAATTGAACACAACATAAATAAATAAAAAATAAATTCATTTGTCAAAAATCACGATGAGTGTATTATAATATACATATGCGATTAAAAAATTGAAAACTTCATGAAAACGATAATATTAATATTAATTCAATATTCACTTTATAAAGTTGTAAAATATCACAAGTCTAAATTTATGGGTTTTAAAATATATTTCACAATAGTAGATAAATGAGATATTGTAAAGCTTGTTTCTTATTTGAAATACGTAAGTAAACCATTTCAAATGTTCCAAATTTCGATTGGCATATTTTGACGATGGTTAGGGGAATGTAGCATAAAATATATTTGAATGTATGATCTCAATAGTCGATTACAAAGAAAATGAAAATAAAACCCTTTATATGTTGTTGAAACTCCACATTTATTTTTCTCAAATTATAAATTTTGAGTTTTGGTATTTACGAAAATAAAATATGAATAACACGAACACATAAATCTTAGACTCTCGTCCGTATTGAATTATATACAATTAAAAATAATAATTAAATTTTTTTTTTTAATTTCTGTCAATCGCAAAGATTACGCAACGATGATGTTACGTTGGTCATAGTTTTTTCAGTGATGGGGTAGGGGTAAGACACTAACCAAACGATCGTCAGCACCAGGAACAGTACATATCGGTGAAAAATATTTTTTTATTTACCGTAAAACATGATTAAAGACCGTTTACCCGAACATGTTTTACATGGGTTATATTCAAAATAATTAGACACAGTTTTCACACTTTATTGAGGAGAATATTAACTATGATGTAGCATTCGTATATTCTTCTTAACTTGACTCATATTAATTTAACAAACATTTGAATAACACA